GCTTTAAATTGAATAATTGTGTCACAGAGACAGAAAAACTGGATATTTAGTCAAATCTCATTTTGAAAAAATGCTTCAAAAGTTTGGCGACTTTACACTTGACTTCAAAAAGGGCTCAATCCAAAAGTGCAAAAACAAAAAAAAAAGTCTTTGATTATCCTAACAGAGCACTGAATAGCACTGCAAGTGCTCACACATTTTTCTACAATACATAGAAGATAAACCTCCTGCCAGGATACAGCTGAAACAGCAGCAAAACTTTACCGTTAATATGTGTGATGCAACAAAACGATTGGCTCATATCTCTCCGGGAACTCTGAGTGCCACGGCTTCTCTCTCTTATAATGTCGCATTGTTTGCCATGAGCTAATGGCACGATTCAAACTGGATCAGGGCTGATACTGTTGTAAAAGATGCATGGAAAAAAGAATGAAAACAGAATGTAAAAAAGAAGAAGACAAAGAAACTCCTTATTCAGGAGTGAGTGTGATTATGTGTTTGTGTGTGGGCGGACTGATCTAATTATGGAACCACATTATGTTTGGTAGCCATATACACTTCATAGCATTATTAATGCACAGCCATTTATTACTCAGGCTTTAAAACGACACCTTGAGCAGCTGCAGTGCCAGCGTCCAACCAGCAGGGAGAGCTGTCAGCATTCACCCATGTTCTTTCAGCCATAATCACACCTGCTGCACCTGCAGTGAATATGCACGGCGTCACCCGCTCGCCTGAGCAGGTTGGTGGGGGCGGGTATTGCAGGGCTAAATGAGATAGGACCTGTTTGTATTGTAACTACGGATGTCAAGTCTGAGTGTGTTTTGGGAGTGTGTGCTTATGTGAAAGGCTGCAGAGAGCCTTCCAGACCATCTGACTTTTATCCAGCGCCAAATGTGTTGTTTAAAGCTGTACAGTTTCTAGAACAGATGATTGAATATTCAGGCTATTCAGAAGTTAAATATTCAGAAAACCTGAGCGTGTCACGGTGTAAGTCTGTTAATCATGTAGATACCTGCAGCGTAAAGCTGAATCTACCCAGAATTTTTGGTTATTGACTGTCATGTGAGTCATTTTAAGGCAGCATCCTCCCCAGAAGTCATCAGCCTTTATGTCTTTTCTTTGTCTTATGTGACACTTTTACTTGCTTTGGGGGCTTTTTGTAAGACAGAAGAAGCAGTTTAAAGACATTTATGCCCAATTTTCAGCAGCTTATTTCATTTAAAGCTCATTGCCTGCTTCTCTTGTCTGCACCTTTGCGCGCTGGTGGTATTAAAAGGTTTTATGTGTATATTGTTGCCATAACTGACCTCCTGTACATTTCGTGTAACTTTACAGACTTTATACTTGTGTGTTATTAGTAATGTTTGCTGTCTGTTATGTGGCCAAACTGTCAATAAGCAGCCAGACTTACAATGAGTACCTTAACACTGACCTATTCTGCTCATTTACAGCTATATATCTTCAGTCTTAGACTTAACTAGCGTAGCTTTGCATGATCCAGAGCTCAACAATAATCCTGGTTTAGCTGATACTGGGCCCTTGGGGAGGAAGGCATCCTCTGTCTGAAAATAAAACGGTTTTAGACAGAGGATACCTTCCTCCTTATTGGTTGCCTGTCGTAACACTTTAAGCCACAGCAGGTGGGCGGGGCTTCTGTGCTCAGTTCACCTCATTAGGAATCACAGAGTTAAGAGTATCAGCAGCCACTTTGGATTTGGTTGATTTATACAAATAATGGCCGAAATATTTTGAAACTATGTCCGTGTTTGATATGAGCATCTATCATTCAAACAGAATATAAATAACAGTAAATAAGGAAAAGCATAATAGGTCTACACAGATAAAATGTGAAAACACTTGTCAGATTTTATCTTGAAAACCTACATCTCTTGTTATTGCATACATAAGAAACTGTTATCTATGTTACCCTAAAAGTAAATGTTTTTTGTGTGTGAGTCTGTGTTGACATCGTACGTGTCTCATAACAAGCAGCCAAACTGCACATGAATTTTGTGCTATTTTTATAAAGATGTATTCAAATTTCTGTTTTCTCTGTCAACTGCTGCTTCTGATGTCTAGGCTCAAATAACAGGAGAGCTGAAGGAATTTTCACTTTTTAAATGTGAGGATTTTCTGCTTAAATGTGAGGGAAGAGTTTTCAATAGCTTTTTCGTACCTTTATGCTAATATTTTATGATATGCCCTCAAATGGTTGATCGGAAATTCAATCAGAAGCTCTCCATTTTTTGCTTAGAGGCCAGATTACCCTGTTAATGGTGCAAATTCTCCAATATATGAGTATAATAATGAAACGCCTGTAAGCTCGTGGGTTTGGGGACTCTTGGGGCAGTGGCCCATTCAACCTAATTTTGGTAATCCAGCACTGCTGTCTGCACAACATAACAATAAATATCATCTTTTTCAAGTTTTAGGGCTCCACAGACTCGATGCAAAAACATTTATATTTTTAAATATAAATGACAACATGATTTGACCTGTTAGAGCAGCAGGGCCCTGGGCGGTCACCCAACTGATCCTAAACTGGTTCTGGCACCAGATTTAAACCAAAATTAACCCTTAACCAAGCAACATATCAGCTGCATGCCTCATCTGATGCCTTAACCCGGGCAGCCTTTCATTCAATCAACAAAAACAGTGCTGACATTCAAAAGAGTTTAATAGTTGAAAGGTAACTAAGAATTAAACTCAGTTTGATTCAATGTTAGTTATATAGTACCAAATCACAACAACAGTGGAAAGGAAAAACTGGCAAACGTGGGAAGGAAAAACTCCCTTTTAACAGGAAGAAACTTAGAGGGAGAAGAGCATAGGGAGGGGCGGCTATCTGCTGCAACCGGTTGGTGGTGAATCTTAAACTCATAAAATCTCTTTCACAAGAGTGTTCTAGGCCAGCTTTGACCTCAAATATTAGCTCAATGTTACTTTCCTGAGGTCGAACTCCTCTATCAGCTGCTGTGTTTTGCTATCGTTAATGCAGTTATCGGTGCACATAGCCTCCATACTATTGCCAACTCTGTGGCCAGATCAGTTTCACCATTTATTAACCGACTGTTTGGGGGATATAAAGAGCTGCACTGAAGTGCGATCCATAAAGTGCCAAAGCCAAACCAACAACAGCGAGAGCAGTCACTTAATCATCTGTGGCTTTATATGCAGTACAGATTTAAAGCAGTTTAGAGTCTTCACTGTATCTCAAAGTTTTCCCCTTCCCACCGCCTCTCTCCATGTGTTCTCACCACTCACATACATCACAGAGCAGCAGCTGGTCCTCCATGGCACTGGTTAGCATAGAAATGCCTGGTTCCCCTTGATGACGCCTGCGTGATACTCAAGTCAAAGTGTTGCACCGTGTTCACAGACGTAGGATATCTGCAGCTCAAACTGTCTCTTCAGCGTGCACTTGTACATCACAGCCTCATTTCTGAATGTAAATAAAGCATGAGATATTACGGCCTGCTTTCATTTATATTATGGTTAGAGTATTAAAAGAAGGCTTAATATATAAGGTAGGTCAGCATTTTTCCCTGTCCTTGAGCTCATGGTCATTTCTCTCTTTTTGTTTTTAATCAATGTGAATGAAGGGAATGGCTATATTTAATGCTGTTGTATGCTGTCGTGTTTTAGAGACTTGAGCCAGCTCATACGAATCTTTTTACATGTAGAGGTCTGGTCTGATCCGTCTCAGTGTTTTTTAGACTGGTGCAGATAAGGCGATGTTCATTTTATGCTATACATACAGTGAGCTACATGTGTCACTGCCTTGTTATAACTCACCAAGGAAATGTTGTTTGTGAGCTTCTCACTTTGAGAAGCATAGGAGATAAAATAAAAGTGTTTTGAAAGGTTTACTGCACGTGTGAACATCATTGCGTGGAACGTAAAGTGCCGTACTTAAGCGCTTTAGTCGTGTGCATTAGTTGAATGCTTCTGTACAAATTTCACATGTGAGACTTCAAAAAAATGTGCTTATAAAATAGAGTGCTTTAAAAATTTGCTCCACCTTGACCAGCTGCAGTATTAAAAAACAGCGTACATGTTAATATAGGAGTTTGAATGACCCATTAATATAATACAGCACTAAAACAGGTGATTCTTTTACACAATGAGTAGAGTTTATGTTGATGTACTTTTTATCTTAATTATGGTATTAGATCCATCGCTGGTGTGCACAAGGAGCTGATTATACTGTTATCAGCTAAAATGTACTGTTTTTTTTGCCTCTATTAACACATCTCCAGGGAAAAATGACTGAAAAATCTAGCCAGTTGCCATCTTTTATTAACAGTCTATGCAACCCCTCTTTTCACAGTGGTTTAAGTGTTATTAAAACCAGCTGGTCACAAAATACACATTTGGGGCTCTTGGGGGAGTTTGCCATTTTGGTCCAAGTTCCACTCTAATGCACAAGATTCAAATTAATGTTTTAATTGTGCAGCTGAGGAATCTGAGTGTCCTCAGCTTACTCACAAAGCAGATTGGGTCTGGCCCAGTAACATACGCAAAAAACAAACAAAAAATCCTCATATACACAAAAATAAAACAAAATAAAGAAAACCGTCCTTCGTGTGTGGTCCAAAGAATGGCTGGTAGCCACAGCTGGACCTGCCTGGGTTTATGTCAGGTTTTAGTTCTGGCACCAGGTGTAAGCCTCATAAAACAACTGTCTCACTTACAGCTGGAATATTTATTAAATCACAATAATTCTGTCCATCCAACCTTCATTGGTTGTATATTCTTACCAGACACCTTTCTAGTGCTAAAAAACATAACTCAGAGATTTTGGTCACAGATAAATTGAGATCAGACTAATGAACACCTTGCACATGTATCAGTAGTCAGCTAATATAACTGGAAGAATGACCAATATGGCAGTATTATTTTAAAAGTAATTTCACAAGCACTCCACTGTAGGCTTCCGCAAAATCTGCCAATCAGGAAAAAGTGGGCATTAATGGGGCGGGCTTTAAGAGCCGGAGCTGTTCGGGAAGATGCTGGACAGGGGGAGCTGCATAGCAGACTCTGGGGCAGTATAAATATGTATTTTGTTTAACTATGAATCAACAAAACTCTATTGGACCCCAGAATAAAAACACACGACTTAAAATAAACACAAAATGCCGCTTTTACACAGTCTTGACAGTGTTTTGAACGCAGTGGGCGTTGTGTTTTTTGAACGCACCCTCGTTTCATTTTCAAGAGACACAGCCGGGCTTTCTGGTGACGTTTATGTGGGGAAGTCCAGTGTCGCGGTGCTGCGTTGACCTGAAAACAAGACACACTCCAGTTACACCTTTCTACTGCACACAGCTCATGACACTTCCATAGAAAACACAGGTAAGTGTCAAAAAGCGCCGAGAAGCCTTCATTTTCTAACGCAAGGAAGCTAATAACCGGCTCCGTCTATTTCCTAGTAGGGCTACCGTTGGCTGGCTGGCTATGCTGTTAGCTAGCTGCTTGTTTGTTGACAAATATGAAAAACAAATGTGTATCTTGTTGTCTGGTATATTGAGTTGGGTATGTCTTGTCTATGAGTAGGCAGCCCACTTGTGTCACACTGCCACAAAACGTCAGTGGTAGCGTTTTTCCTGCTAAATCATCGAGCTGACATTAGCCTAGCAGCCATTCCAGTATGTAGCCCTGCCCCTGTGTTTGATAGGTTTATGTGATAATCCAAACAGCGCAGTCACTTAATAAACTGACAGGGTCTGCTGTGTTTCTGTCGCGTGACTCAAATATAATTCCCACACTCCGGTACAGGCTGCGTGAACAACAATGGAGAGACCTCCCTTCAGGCAGAACCAGAACTTGGGGGACTGGGAACTGAAAGAGAGGCTGGGCATGGGAGGCTTTGCCCATGTTTACCTCTACCAGCATATGGTGAGTGTCCAGCCAGGAGAGTTCCTGACCCTATACGTAACTTAGGAAAGGAGGATATGGGTGCTGGAAATTGAAATGGCCTGTTTTGAAGTAATCACCACCTGCTTTTCCTTGACTGTATTTGTATAATAATGGGATGTCTGCTGTCTGTTTTGCAGCAAACACACGAAAAACTGGCTATAAAAATGTGTCGCCTGGAGCTTACACCAAGGAATAGGGACAGATGGGGCAGAGAGATCCAGATCATGAAAAAGTTGGTATTTATTTTTTGTTATTTTCCTTCCTTAGTGGCTTTTATTTAAACGTGTCACATCTGTATGTAACACTTCTTAGTGTCACAAAGGTGACACAAAAGTGCCATTTGAATCAAGTTCAGCTTTCTTGTTACCTGGCTTGACAAAACCTGAAACCCCAGTCAGAGATAATGAAGATCGCAGTGATGATTTAGCCAGAATAAATTTAATTCCTCTTGACCAATGAAGCGCTGGCTACTAAAGTCAGATGTTGTTAGATGAGTGTGGGATAAAGATCTAGAAAGAATACTAAAAATAAAGTGGCAAAATGCATCACTGGTTGTGCAAATAGGACAAGAGAGAAGTTAATATATATTACCCCAGTTGTGGATAAATGGCACTGCTCCCAAGAGGCAAGGGAAGTAAACCCTGGCAGAATATCTAGAATGGGGTTTTGGCCCTCCTGCATTCTGGTGTATCTCCAGTTGTTCTGACTATGTCCTACACTGGATCCAGGGTGGGCTCATCCGAGACAGTGAGGCGCTCACATCCTTACTCTAATCCAAGTCACTTGCAAATCATGACTACCAAGCCTGACCTATGGAGTGTCTGCAAGAGCCTTTCTTTGCGCACATATTTCTAATGTGCACTTTAGGTCTTAGAAGGTTAAAAACACATTATTGCAAAATGAGGGTGTTCATAACAGTCACGGCTGTTGTGGAAATTATTTTATTTTGTGTCAACATTAAAGTAAAATAGAATAATCTGTGTTCTTGAATTGTAAAACAGATGTATGAGCAGATGTTTATAAAGCATAAAAATATATTTATGCATTATCTCCATCATCAAATAAATACATGCTATTTTTTTTCAGTGATGTCAATGAAATACAGCTCAGCAAGTTGCATACTAATACTCTAAAACTAATCTGTATCATACTCATCATATTGAAAATTGGAAAATCTGTGAAAATGTGGTGCTGTAAGCTGAGTTTTAAACCGAAACTCAAGGGTATATGTTCAGCTTATAACCATAGTGAGCATTGTTACCATGGTGATCTAACCAGGTAAAAAGAGAGCCAGCTTTGCGACAGTGAACGCGACACACCTTGCAAAGCTGGCTGGACTAATTTTTTGGCTTCCATATCAGGTTATGCTCAAAGTTTTGGTGTATAATTAACTTTAAGCACCACATTTTGTCTGATTCATGTAATTGCAGTATGCTCCAAGTGTGATACAGATTCTTTGCTGAGGATCACCTTTTGGATATGAAACCTGCTAAGCTGGTTTTCGTTAACACTGCAGGATGAAGGTGTGCAGTATTTACAGCAGCTCAAGCTGTGCATCAAAGGAATTTAAATGTATTGTGTTGTTGATGTAGCCTGATCCTCATTTGCTTCCAAGTCTGTTTTACACTGAAGGAATTACAGCTAACAAAGCAAAAGACAGGAAGATGTTAAAGGCAGGATTAGAGTAGAGTACATCAGAGGGACAGCTCAGGTTGAGCAGTTTGAAGACAAAGTTAGAGGCGAGGCTGAGATGGATTGGACATGTGCAGAGGAGGGATAGAGGATATATTGGAAAAAAGGATGTTGAAGGTGGAGCTGCCAGGCAGGAGGAAAAGAGCAAGATCACAAAGAGATATGGATGTAATGAAGGAAGACGTGCAGACGGTTGGTGTGAGAGAAAAAGATGAAAGGGATAGTTTTAGATGGAGACAGATGATCTGCTGTGTCGATCCCTAATGGGAGCAGCCGAAAGAAGAAGAGTGCAGATTGAAAAATTAATAAGTCTGCTTTTAGGATATTTATTACCAAGAATATAAAATCATTTGAGATGTCCGCTTTGATCTGGCAACAAACAAAAGTGATTCAACCCTCATCTGACATCTCCATGGTGATAATGTGCTTATATTAGCCTAACTAATCTGTAGCTGGAGCAATCTGGAGCTGAAGGAAGTTTTACACAAGGAAATGGTGAATGACGTTAGACTTAACAAGCAGACAGCATGACACAATGTGTGAACAGATAAAATTAAGTTTGCACTACAGCTTTCTTTCCTTGTTCCTTGTTGTGGGCCTTCTGAGAACTATGGCTTTATACAGTGTGATCTTCTTCACAGTTATTGGTAGTTATTAATCAATTTGTGAAACCCACAGGCTTGCAGATGCAAGAATGAGTTGCACTGTTATGCAGACAGTGGATGACTGTGCAGAAGTCTGTCTGGATGTCTTTAAAAAGTAATGTGGTTCCATATCTCTCACTCAGGTTAAATCATATCAATATCGTGACAGCCCAGGAGGTCCCAGAGGAGGTGGAGCCCATAGCCTTAAATGATCTTCCACTGCTGGCCATGGAGTACTGCTCCAGAGGAGACCTGAGGAAGGTGAGGGGGGGGTCATTTAGATGGGATTGATATTATTTGGAGAGTTTAGAAATCAGAAAAAATATGCAGCAGACTTTGCCAGAGAGCTGTAATATTTTCTGTCCAATGATAGTTTTGTGGGGAGTCATGGGTGCACAGCGAACAAGCTTTTAATAGGAAATTCAGCGTGCTTTCTGTGGCTCCAGTGTGACAAAATGTGAATAAATTCAGGCTAAAAGTAAGGATCAGAAGCCTTTATTGGTATGTGGATTTAAGTCACTGACCAGGGTCATATTTCACAAGCCCTGACCACAACTCAAAATATAATGAAAAAAAATGTTTAAAGATAACAAAGGCAACAGATTAATGAGAAACAGTGAGCAAGACCAGAGCCTGGCACCTATAAAAGAGGATGATAAACAGGTGTGTGAGGCAGGTAGTGTTTGGAGTGTGGTCCCGCTCCTGAATTTCACATAAAGTAAAATCAAAAGTGTGAAATATAGAGGCCACTGCACACAGTGACCAATATATAGAAGGTAATATATGGAGTGATAGTGTGAAGTTAGCTGATGTTATCTATATAGCACTTTTCAACAAGATTGTTTAAAGTGAGTTATATAAGACATACATTTCATTAAGTACACACACAAAGATAAATAGAAGATGAAAATAAGCACATCATATCAGACTTCTTAATTTCAGAACATTTCTCACCCTTTGGTCACATGTTCTAAAAAATACCGCAGCTCTGATAGGATTTCTTTTTCCTGATTTGCAGGTGCTGAGCAAACCTGAAAACTGCTGCGGTCTGAAAGAAAGTGAAGTGCTTTCATTACTTAATGATGTTGGTATGTGCATTGTTTGGCTTATTCATTCAGACATTTCTTCTTTTAACGTGTCATTGGCTTTGATTAAGTCTGACTTCTGCTCCAGGATCCGGTATCCAGTATCTCCATGAAAACAAGATCATACACAGAGATCTTAAACCGGAAAACATTGTGCTACAAGACATCAACGGGAAGGTAAACCAGCTACTCTTCCCTTTTTTTGACTGCTCTGTTTGACTACTTCTTCTTTCAGCTGCTCTCTTTAAGAGTCGCCACTGAAGATCTGCCTCCATATCATCTTTAGCATCTTCTCCTGTCACACCAACCCTCTACATGTCCTCCTTCACCACATCCATGAATCTTGTCTGAGGTCCTCCTCTTTTCCTCCTGCCTGGCAGCTCCATCTTCAGGATCCTTTATCCAATATATCTACTATCCCTTGTCAGCCTTGCCTCTCAAACTCTGAGCTGTCCTCTGATGTACTTGTTTCTAATCCTGTCTATCCTGGTCGCTCTTAACATCTTCGCCTCGCCCTCCTGTCTTTTTGTCAGTGTCACAGTCTTGAGACATCACAGCAGGTCTCACTACCATCTTGTAAACAAACCCTCCCTGACACCCATCTCCACCCACTCCACTCTCTTCTTCACCTCTCTTGTGCACTGTGTGTTTTTCTTGGATGGTTGACCCCAGGTATTTAAACTCCTCTACCTTCACTATCTTTGCTCCTTGTATGTCCACATTAAGACCCGTCTCCCTCTCATTCACAGCCTGCTCTGTTTGACTGCTCATCTGAAATAAACTCTTTTTTTAATTTATTTTTTTATTCTGCAGTTGGTTCACAAGATTATCGACTTGGGCTATGCTAAAGACCTGGACCAGGGGAGTCTGTGCACTTCATTCGTTGGCACACTTCAGTACCTGGTAAACACTTAAAACAAACATTTATTTATCCTCAGATAGTGTATGTTATGTGCTATGTCTTATAGTAATTATAGATTTTAAATCCTTGACTTTACTTTCTACCTTTTTATAGAAATGACTGAACAGGGTCATTCTGAAAAATCAACCTGTGCCTCCCACCTCACCTCTTTATAGGCAGCTTGATTTCTGTAATAACATCAGTATATTGATCTCGAGACACTAGCTCTATAATTTAGGCCCTTTGATTTGCTGAAAGAATTGTGAAAAACCTTTTTAGGACCAAAAGTTTTTTAATAAATTAAAAATGTGAACACCTGTATTGTTGTTTTTTCAGCTCATAGCCACGGGCTACATTCAGGAGTGTTAAATAATTGAATATGACTATATCAGAAAATTATCTTGACTTAGAACACATCATGGCTAGAAGACAAGCCTGGTATCACAATGTAGGTGAAAAAGCAGACCTGTCATATGATGTAACTTGTTGACCAACCACATGGTGATATAACCCTTAAAAAACAAATTTTTCTCCAGTGAACTATCAGAAAACATAACATACATCCAGGGTGGCAATGCTCGTCTCTTGTCTGTGTCATAATCATTAAATTGGTGCAGTTTTTTTACAGATATGATGGCATCTCATGATACTGATGCTCAAAGGTGGCTATGAAAAAAAACCCAAGATTGTAGCATTATAGATTGTGATACTTGGATCAGATGTTAACCTGATATAGTGGCAGTTTATTTATTTTATTTTTTTATTTATATTTTTACATCTTGTTTCTTCCATCTCTGAAAAAGATGTCATGAAGGCTCAAAAAGTAAAAACTAATAAAAATGGTAACATTTCAACTCACCCCTACGTACAAAGTCAGCCTGTAACTCTGAAATAATATTGAGGGTGTAAATACAAAAGATAACACTTTGGATGGCTTCATTAAATACATAAAAATGACTGTATTAATAGATATATTTAAAAAAATAGCCAATTTGCATGTTCTGGCCTCCACTACAGTTTACCTGGATGAGTGGGTGACCCACGGCTGCTGCAGGGCCGTGTATTCACCGTTGAGATCATTTCTTGTGGGTCATTCTTTCCACCCTTTTCTACTTTCCTGTCGACTCTACTGTCACATAAAGGATGGAAATGCCAAATAAGTCTTTAAAAAAGATCACTTCACACGAAACACTGTTGTTGTTTTTTTTCCTCTCTCCAGGCTCCTGAGCTCTTTGAGAATAAACCGTACACTGTGACTGTGGACTATTGGAGCTTCGGAACAATGATCTTCGAGTGCAGTTGCGGTTTCCGTCCATTCCTACACAACCTGCAACCTGTGCAGTGGTAAGTTGATCCTAGTCTGTGTCACTAATGTATGCGCTACTGGAAATTAGATGAGTCAGATGTCTGAGTAGAGTATGCAGGAGCCCAGCTCTGTTCTCACGTCAGATTTTATTCTACATCACATGTTTGTGCTTTAATTCGACTGAGGTACATTGAGAACTGCATCTTCTAAGTACTTCTAGTACTTTGTATTGAAATAATTTGGTATTGATCCTTTCTGATCTTGTCTTCAGGGCCAGCAAAGTGAGGAATAAAGGTCCAAAAGACATCATGGCAGTAGAAGAACTAAACGGAGAAGTCAAGTTCTCCACACATCTCCCCTACCCCAACAATCTCAGCAGGTCAGCTGCAATCATTTTTACTGAGACATTTCCTTATTTTATTGAGCTGTTTGTCTCCTGTGAGGACAAATTAGTTTCTTCATGGTGTTGTGCTATAGTAATTTAAATGGAACGCAAAATAGCCGAGAGCATGTGAACTGTGGTTGTTGCTAATTACCCTCCCTGAAGACCTGTTTTAAATGTTTTAACCGGTTTTGTACAGGACGCTGTTGGAGCCGATGGAGGCGCTGCTTCAGCTGATGTTAAAGTGGGATCCAGTGCACAGAGGAGGCCAAGTGAACCATGAAACCAAGAAACCCCTGTGCTTTGAACTCCTTGATCAGATACTGATTATGAAGGTGAGGCACTGGAAGAGCTGGCTCTTCAGTCAGTAATTTGCAATGACATGCAGTGCCCTAGAAAGTTTTAGTGTTTTATTTTTCTCATCTTAAAATTATAAAGACAAGAAATACTAAAGCTGCCACCGAAGCTTTCACTACTTTTAGGCATTTTACTGCTAATCTCACTGGACTGATTGTAGCGTTTGTATGTTTGGTGGGCCAATCTGAAAGAAAGAAGCTGTGCACCATCATTGTCACTCATACAGGAATTATTGTCATCTATTTTTCTTTTTAAGATTTATTATAAATCGAAATTATTTTTATTGTTATGCTCTCTGTTTGCATTTGTTCCGCACGTCACATTCAACATGGGTCACCTGTACGTAACTTAACGGTCACCACCCACACAGCAGGTTTTTGCAGTTTACACAAACACAGGTAAAATCCAAAGTGACATTTAAAGGAGGCCTAAACATGCTAAGAGATACGCAGCGTACTTTAAAAATCTGTCACATTTTTTTCTGTTTTGTTAGTATCAGAAATAATTTTAAAACTAAACAATATTGATTATTGATGATGTTTCAAATTCCAGAAAAACTTATTATAGATATAGAAGTACAAGTCATGTTCAAAGGTTATTTAGTCATTTGAATATGTTTTATAGGTCTTTACAGATTTGTGGCGATAAATGTTGATAGTAAAGCTTGCAAACTTGTGATGTGCGTATTTAGACCCATACTTGAGGACTCGGATCTTCTTGGGATTAACTCTATGCCAACCTTTTTTAAGGGAGTTTGGTCTGGAAACTTCTGTTGTCTTGTTAGAAATATTGAAATAGAAACCTTGATTGTTTGTTTGTTTTTTGTTTTTTAGCCAATGGGGAAATGTTTGTTTTTGTTTTTCTGAGCTCAGGATTACCCATATTTTTATATACCCATCCTTTACGTTCTCCCACTTAGTGTCTCAGTTCCTGTAATAGGGAAAAACTGACTTAGGGACAGTATTGATGAGGTGATGCAGAGTCTGTACATTGTCCTTCACAAACGTCATTATAAACTGTGCAGGTAGATAAACCAGGCCAGAGGATTTCACTTGTTCTGGTTTCCTTCTCGCTACTCTACTGTAAATATGTGATTAGTGATGGGCTGCTTCTACGCAAAGGAGCTCCAGGCCTCATTCACAGTGACCACTGGGTTCTTGTTCAGTTTGGTTTTGCAACAAAATCTCGAATGTTTTAGTGCTGTGGAGAATTTATATTCTTCCCCATATCTGACACAATCCTGTAATCCCACCTCATTTAAAAGCATCTTCTCTGTGACATAACAGAGGCCAAAAGTCTCAGTGGAGTAATGCTGTCAAAACACAAGCACACACATGTATTGTACTATTTGTGTAGCAATTCTCCAAATACATGTTTTGGTTTCTTTTGTCTTCTTGTGGGAAAGTAGTGTAAGTGTGTTGGGATGAGTGAGGGTTGTTAATAAGAATTCCAGTATTTCCAGTTTATGCTACACATTAGAGCTTTCACCAAACATAACATTTAACAACTTGAAATCTTTATAAAAATGAACTGGCTGACCTCGGCTGTCACAGCCCTCCCCATCTGCCAGTTTTTAGTAATAAATTAATTCCAGCTCTTTGGTGAGGCAGCAGTTAATCAATATTAAGAATAATTAGATTCTTGCAGCCCTCTGCTGGCCCATGTACCGCGATACATACTGCAGAAAATGATAGATCACGAAGTAGTTTAGTTTATACTGACGGGTTTTCTGTTTTCAGGTCGTCCACATCCTGAACATGACCACAGCGCAGGTCCACTCCTTCCAGCTAACTCCTGACGAGAGTCTCCACAGTCTGCAGAAGCGCATCGAAGCTGAGACCAAGATCGAGGTGGTGAACCAGGAACTGCTGCAGGAGACGGGAGTGTCACTGGACCCCAGGAAGCCCGCTGCACAGTGTGTCCTGGATGGAGTGGTGCGTTGATTTAACCACTGTTTAGATGAATGAAAGGATTTTAAATCTAAAATCACACGTGATGATGTACAATAACTTATTATTAAAATAATCATACATAACAGCTTTGGGTTTTTTGATGAATTAAAAAATCATCTTCATCTTGTTATCCAAGGAGCTAAAGTTGCAGCTTATTGGCGGTGTTCCTCACTGGTTGTTATCCCTGGCCATGCTGTCTTTATATTTTGGGATACATCCATTGGCCTGATCCTGTCTCTCCTACATCGGGTGTCCGTGACAAAGGGCCGTGTTGTCCATCTGTTCACTTAATTTTATGTAGCTGTGTTTTATCTGTGCACCAACAGCAGTACCAGTGGTGGAGGGTCACTAAACTGAAAGTATTTCAGGCCTGTGACACCAGTGGCTTTACCAAAGTTTTTTTTTTATTAAATAAATAAATAATCCATACGATCACAGCAACATGAATATATAAATATCACATGATGTAGTCTTGAATCACTGTGGGGTTTGCTAGGGTTTTGTTTACGTCACTATATGACACCTATAAGTGTCTGCTTCAGCGCCTGTAAATCAGTTCGATCTGTCACAAATCACAGGGCTGAAAATCTTGATTGTTTGTTTTACCCATGCATGATTACGTTCTGTTACCTGCAAAAAAAAAGAAGCAAAAAACAACCTGTGCTATGTTTTGGTTTGCTTATTGGAGCATATACAACATCAAGCAACGGTGTTTAGAAAAATCTACATCTATCAATAATCATGACTCATTTCCCTCTAACTGCATCTATTCTGAGAGACTTGAAGTCACTCTCTTGAGTTGTAAAAAGACTACTTGAGATCTTTGTAATGGTTTTCTTTCCTCCTGTGTAGAGAGGGTGGGACAGCTACATTGTCTACCTGTTTGATAAGAGCATCACCAAGTACACCGGCCCCTTCAGTGCCAGACGTCTGCCTGAGAAAGTCAACACCATTGGTGAGTTCATATTAAGTGACTCCAGTTTCTGAAATGAAAAGGACTGTTACATGACGGGGTTGGCTCTCTTCTGCTCTGTATAAAAACTTTCATGGTTTTTATTTTCCCAGTGCAAGATGCCAAGACGCAGCTGCCTTTGGTTGTGATGAAGAAGGTGTGGGGTGAAGCTGTGAGCTACATCTGTGGCCTGAAAGACGACTACAGCAGACTTTTCCAGGGGCAGAGAGCTGCCATGTGAGTCCCATAACAATCGTGTATGATGTGCTTTAGCCCAGATCATGGTTTACAATGTGAATCCATGACAGGATTCAGAAATAACATCAGCTTTATGCGTCTGTGCTATTTAAATATTAAACAGTGTAAGTTGAGCTTTTTCATTAAGAGTGTTTTATGTTACATCCTAGCAGCGGACAACCAGATGTTGTGGTTTTGGTGAAGAATAGTTATTGTCAAACACAGAAATAAAACGACCGATATTAGTTTCATATCAAATTAATAATATTAGTTTTTCTTTTCTGAGGTGGAGATAATACTCTGTTTGCTACGGATGAAAAGACACCATACTTCATCAGTATCAGTAGTGCATCAGTAGCTCTGTATATATTAGACTTTAATTTTAGTTCATAATTGTAAACAATTATGTTCAGCACGAGCCAGAACAAAAAAAGCTCGTAGCAGAAGAACTGAAAGTGGTATAAGGGTACTGTGCGTGAACGTGTGAGTGGACCATTAATGGTTGCATCCAGATTGCTTTTACTCTTGCATAATCCACTTCTGTACGTGCTGTGTGAGGTATTGGTTGACTCTTGGTTCCTTGTTTCTCTCAATGTGGCTACTATGTTGGTTTTTCAATGCACGTGAGCCTACTGCCGTTTGGGCCACATGTTGCTCCCGTCTGTCGGTGGTTTTGTGGTTTTGTGGACTAAGTTATGAAGTAATCCTAATTACTAATCAGGATTAACCAAAATAAAATAGATTATGATTTCTGCTCTTATCCAGCAGCACACTTACACAGGCTTTAGATACCTGCATTATTTTCTGAGTGTGGACAAAATGTAGAAATGGAGCAGGAAAGAAATTAACTTCCTGGTGACTCATGTGTACAAAAAGCCAACTGTTATTAGGCTGACATCATTGTTTTGAAATGTGACACACCAACATTTATGAAAGAAAGTGATAAGGCGCTGGGCACCGAGTCTCAGCACGGTGGCTCACTTAAAATGGGTTCAAAACTGAAACCGGTTCTCAATTCTGTTTATGCTATTTAAATCATTTCTCTTTGTTACACTCACGACTTCTGCTTAGTAGCTAGGAATCCCAGCGTCTCCTTATTTATCTGCAAGTTTTTGTAAACAAAAAAAAAACATTTAATAGTTTTAGTAATTGCATTTGTTGGTCCAGGTTTTATTATTTGTACCTCGAAGCCTTAAAGTTGAGCCCCGAAGAAACCCATCTAAACATTTTCTGTAAATTTTATTCCAACATTTAACTGTTGGTTGAATATTTAGAGCAACGATTTAGTTGTCAGCTGAATATAGTTGTAGTGTCGTACACGCCCTTCAGCTCTGCTTATTTTCCAGTGTAATTCTTCCCGAGTCCTAGTTTGAATTCAACTTTCTGTTGTGTTGCTCCTCACACTCTGGTCCTTGTGACTGTTGCTCCTCTGGAAGCTTTAGCTGTGGCTGGACTGTCAGCCTGTCTTCTTCAGTCCTCCGCCTTCCTCTTGGAGCTTTCTGATTTTACCATCTCCTCCTTCCCCCTCAAGGTTGAGCCTCCTCCGCTACAACACCAACCTGACCAGGTGTAAAAACAGCATGTTCGGCTTCTCGCAGCAGCTCAAAGCTAAGCTGGATTTCTTCAAGAGTAGCATCCAATATGACTTGGAAAAATACAGCGATCAGATGCACTATGGCATATGTGAGTGTTTGCTGGCAGCTGTTTGCTCTTTGTTTCAGTAAACATGTTGTAGGGTGCTCGATGAGCTCACATTTGTCTGATTTGTCCAAAGCCTCAGAAAAGATGCTGAAAGCCTGGCAGGAGAACGAAGAAAGAGCTGCAGCTTTTGCTCAGGTAACTCATCTCTTAAAAATAAGACACAGACTGGTAGTTGCTAACCAGCTAGTCCAGGCTCTTTCATGTTTTTTGTTTTTTCCTACTGGTTTACTGCAGTAGGTTTACCAGGTTGCTCTCATTTTGGACTGCAGCTGGTGAGAGTAGTTCTTCTGGTTCCAAAGTCACTTCTTAGGTGATCCCCTGGCCTACGGTGAGGGCTGCAGACCAGAACAAGGACTACCTTCACCTACTGCAGTCCAAGATGGTGGAGTTGATGTTCATCTGCAGGATCACAGTCACTGAGGAGGCTCAGTTCCGAAGCACTTTGCTAATGAAAACATTTGCCTGGATAAATGTATTAAATTCAATTTAATAAAGAACATGTGTAGGAATCACTGTGATGTTTACCAGTGCAAAGGCTTCTTATAGCAGCCTTTGGTTGATCCATTGTCTGTCCTGCAGGTGGCAGAGGTGAGCCATTTGGATGATGAGATCATGGCTCTGCACTCTGAGATAGTAGAACTACAGAGGAGCCCATATGCCCGACGCCAAGGAGACAAGATGGAGCAGCTGTGAGTATTAAAAGGGTTTAACGTGAGATGATTTAATCTGTGGACACTTATCAAGAGCCATATAAATCCCACATTTCACCTAATTTAAAAGACATAAGTAACAGTCACTTGTTGGCCTTTGATTCTTTTTGGTTGGTTTGCATAATGGTGTCTACAGATGATTTTGACACTTTTTGGTTGTCCCCGCTTCACCTGAGGAAATGACCGGACGGTGCCAAAAACAATCCTACATCATGAATACATTTACATGCACGCTAAATATTTCAAATATGACACACTTTGACTGTACACTGATGTACTTTGAATGTTTGCAACATGCTTTGGACTTGTGTACAGAGCACATGGAAATGCATCTAAATTTGACTCCCGGCTTCTTGCCTGTTTACAGTCCACTCAGTCACCAGTTTGAAAGGATGGTTGTGTGGTGTGCATAAATGTCATGATGGAGAATTTTTCCAGAAGGTTTTCAGCTCTGTTTGGACGAACAAACAGATGTATAACATTGAGGGAAGAAAAAACCTTCCTTCATGACTAAGAGGTCGAGATCGCAACAAATAAATATGGGACAAAGAGGACAATTGTGTGAAAGAATATGGGACACATTACTAATGCTGAAAGGCATTTAACACGTGAAGGACAAATATGTTTTATTTCAGTGCGATGCTCCGAATTGCCTTACCACAGTGATCATAAAGGAAACTGACATCTATATTTAATTATACAGAAATCTTCATATTTTTATGTGTTCTCCTTTTTTTCCCCAGTAACTTTTTTAACGTGTTTACTCCGATTTTTTTTGTCTCTAAAAATCCTCTATCAACATGCACGTTTGTTTCTGAGCTGTGCGCTTATAACTGACGAAATAACTGGGGAAAAACAAAAGCCCTGCATACGTTCATTACCTTTATCTAGTTAGTGGAAGTTTCCCGGTCTTTGTCATTGCGGCAACTTTTATTCGTTTTATTTAGTTTTAGGAAGTTTTAGTCATTCCACAAAAGTTTGTGTAAAGCTTGTGACTTTATACTAGCTTGGAATTTCCTCATAGGCAGCAAAAGACGGTGACGTGTTAATCTAAACGAACCCCATGATGACAGTATTTCCTAACAGCAATGTATTAAAAGTCAGACTATTTACAAGCAAATTTGTACGTCTGCGTTAAATCTGTACTGTAGGTATATTGTAACCACAACCTGTTCTGATGTCCTGTGCTATAACTTACACTGTAACCTTACATCCACCTTCGTAGAGATGTAACCACATGTTGCATCTCTAAAGAGAGAAAATGCACATCTACATGCAGAAATGACAAAGGATCACTTTACAAAGACTCTGTAGCGATTCAAAGCAGTATAAATTAAAGTTTTGACTTTAGATCACTGTGTAAGTTCTCAGTCATCACCATGGTAATTTAAGGACTTCTTTTATTTCTCCTTTAAATAAATCCAGTCGCTTTTCTTTCCAAGCTCCTTAGACTTCAGAGTTTTAGAGCCAGTCATGATGTGAGACTTTATCTCAGTAAAAAAAGCTGTGCTGACTCGTATAAAGGGGGCACGTGAGCTCCACGGTCTACACCCAAGTCCAGTAAAAGAAAACACTAATAAACTTGGACTGTGGAGAAAAAGCATGCAGGCACAGGGAAAATGTGTAAACAGCACTTAAAAAGGCAAGAAGGTGAAGAATGAGAAGCTGACCAGGAAGTTTGAGTCACGAACCTTCTTGCTGTGAGGCAACTTTAGACCACTAACCACGCCACCATGATCTTGGCAGATTTTTGTCAGTGAAAAAGTTCATTTACTTTGAGATCTTGAGAACACGCGCAGAGAAAAGGTACAGCAAACAGTTCGATGTTGACTGACCATCAGCTGGTGGACGTTTCTCTACGCTTGGAAAAATGCCTCCAAAATAAAAGCTTTGCTGATGCGAAGACACTAAGCTTGTCACATCAAAATTTATAAAGATGAGGTCGGGAGCAGAGAGGCAGTGTTTAAAATTGGCTTAAAATCTTTTATTTATACTAAAAATAAACAAATTAATTAATTAAAACAGGTTAACCCGGAGATAACATCATCATTTCAACCATGTTCAGCCAAACATAAAGTGAAGTTTATGCAGGACTACAAAGTCTGTAGCAACGTTAATGAGAATACATGTCAGGTGATGTAAATGGAGGCAAATCCCCATCCACAGCTCAAATATCCAACTTCAGTGAAAAATCCACTTCATGCTGTGTCATCAAAGCCTGCCAGCTCAGAATCTCTCACAGAGTGGACTCTCCTGACTCAGTGGGAATAAGCATGAAGTCCTAGGATTTCATTTATTTTCCTCCAAGCCCTCTCATTGTCTTTTCCTTCTGTACATGAGTGTAATCGTGTCTGTAGATTCTCCAGACGCCATTGCTGATAATAAACGAAGGCCAAGCTTGTTGGCTCCATTTGTGGACAGAGCCGTGTTATTCGAATTTTTTTTATAAGATAGTAGCAGGGAAAAGGAAAAAGGAGATTGCTTTGGAGAAAAGTGAGTGAAATTATTGCGTTTTGTGGTAACTGCTGAAAATATGTGACTGTAACTTGATTCCAGCCGTTGGTTGTACTCCTCCTTGTTCTCCTGTCGACTGTGGGAAGGAAATATTTGTGTGTTTTGAACACATTTGGTCTGAACGCACGTTAGGAAGTACCAGATGCAGTAACGAGCCCCAGCTGAACTCTAACTGGGGTCATTGCAGTTATGTGCAGCTGTGCACAGTGAAAGCTTAAAGTGCCCCTTCTTTAAAAAATGTGTTTTCATCAGGTTAGCCTTGGCTTTGTGGGAAAGTTTCTGATCCTGGTGTTGACTGTTGACAGTAGAGACATAATGATGGGCTCGGTGCTCTTCCTCTTTTTAGTAACATAGGGTCTAAAGACCCTGTTCACCACAGCCTCGCTGTCCTCCTTCAGTAAATGATACAGCAGAAACCCCCATGTAGGCCAGACCTCAACATATCACCAAGTTAATAAAGAAACATAATCGCAGTGAAGATAAGGGATGTGGCTGAAGTTTCATACAGCTTCATGAGGTGCTGAAGTGCTGGTGTAACCTCACCTGGATGTATGCATCTTGCTTCACTCCGCAGGGAAAAGACTTTGCTCTACATTTTAGTCGATCAAACTAGTTTGCTGTTGGGTAAAAGTTTACTACTTTTTCTTTTGTAAATCCTGTGAATTGCTGTCACGTCATGCACTGGATTGAAAGCGTGCCACTTTAAATTAAAAACCGTCCTTGGTGCTGCTGTGAAAGTTCTGACCGGTGCCTGTCTTCAACACATATGGAGAGGATAGCAGTGGTGTTTTTAAACATGCAGCTTCAGAGAGTAATCTGATCATGAGCTTAGCTTCAGAATTCAAAGAAGAACATTTTAATGTGATAAAATAATTTTTTGCAGGGAAGAAAAGGCAATCGAACTTTACAAGCAACTGAAGATGAAATGCAAAGGTAAGAAACGTTGAATGGATCATTTAAAACTCTGAAATCAGAAATGAATCCATTCTTTAAACTGAGGTGTTGTTTAAACTCTCCCCCCCCCCCCCCCCCCCCCCCCGTTTGCGTTAGTACCTGACTCTGATGTGAGCTGCGACAGCTCTGAGATGGTGAAGGCCATCATCCAGACAGTCCAGAACCAAGACAAGGTCCTCAAAGATCTGTTCACACACCTCAGGTAAGGGTCCGCCCATGCTTGACAGTTTGATTTCTCCCCTGAGCTTTACACCTCTGATTACTGTTAATTATCTGTGGTCTCAATTCTTTTTTTACACTGGAACTGAGTCCCTCAGGGTTTTGACATATTGTGTATTTTTTTTTTTTTTTTTTTTAAAACCTATCTCGAGGAACTTATATGTTCTCTCAAGGCAGGTTAATGCTGAATCCACAGGTTCAGATGTTTTCCTACTCATCTCCATCCACATGAAAATGCAAATAACAGTATCAAGTGCCGCCAAAGCAAAAGGTGACACTATAACCCCAATTCATAGTTTCATGTTGACCAGTCAAAAGCCTGCAAACAACAACACAGTGCACACCCTTGATATTGCAAGAAAAGTCTTCATGTTCCTCGCCCACAAGTAAGCACAGAAATGGTGATTATAGAAATCTTGACCCTGGAAGGAGTTTATCTAAAGTTCAGTGACATGAAATAATGTTTATGTGTAGATGAAAATCCCAAGGTATAGCTAAAGGTGATGGCAGTATCAGTAGTTTCATGAGAAGTTGGTCACACGTAAAAAAAAATACAGAAATCAGAATCAGAATCAGAATCAGAATGGGGTTTATTGCCAGATGTTGAGGTTTACAACATTAGGAAATTGCTGCGGTGCTTCAGTGCAAACAATAAGAATTAAAGTGCTATGTAGAAAGAAAGATATGTGCATGAGATATACATGAGATATATACATGAGAATAAGAATTATGAGTGCTACGTAGAAAGATATATACATGAGTGCAGGTGGTGATCAGTGCCAAACATGAAATGAGATGATGCAGTGACACAGCGTAGGGTCATGTGTTAGTGGTGGGAACAGTTATACGGTTATTGTTCATGTGTCCAACAGCAGAGGGGAAGAAACTGTTCTTATGGCGAGAGGTTCTGGTGCGAATGGACCGGAGCCTCCTGCCTGAGGGGAGCAGGTCAAACAGACTGTGTCCAGGGTGAGAAGGGTCAGCTGAGATCCGGGCTGCACGCCGCAGTGTCCTGGAGGTGTACAGGTCCTGCAGAGATGGGAGTCTGCAGCCAATCACCTTCTCAGCAGAGCGCACAACACGCTGCAGTCTCTGTTTGTCCCTGATAGTGGCTCCAGCGTACCACACGGTGATGGAGGAGGTGAGGATGGACTCGATGATTGCAGTGTAGAACTGCATCATCGTCCGTGTTGGCAGGTTGAATTTCTTCAGCTGCCTCAGGAAGTACATCCTCTGCTGGGCTTTCTTGATGACGGAGGTGATGGTGGGCTCCCACTTCAGGTCCTGGGTGATGGTGGTACCCAGGAAGCGGAATGAGTCCACAGAGGTGATGGGGGTGTCAGTCAGGATGATGGGGGGGAGTGGGGCTGTGTGCTTCCTGAAGTCCACAATAATCTCCACTGTCTTCTGGGCATTCAGCACCAGGTTGTTGTGGCTGCACCAGGTCACCAGACGTTCAACCTCCCTCCTGTAGGCAGACTCATCCCCGTCCGAGATGAGCCCAATACGGTGGTGTCATCTGCAAACTTGATTAGCTTGACAGACTGGTGGGTGGAGGTGCAGCAGTTGGTGTACAGGGAGAAGAGCAGAGGAGAAAGAACACAGCCCTGAGGGGAGCCGGTGCTGATGGTCCGGGAGTCCGAGACATTCTTTCCCAGCCTCACATGCTGCTTCCTGTCCGTCAGGAAGTCAGTGATCCACCGGCAGATGGGATCAGGCACATTCATCTGGGAAAGCTTGCCTCGGAGATGGTCTGGAAGGATGGTGTTGAAGGCAGAGCTGAAGTCCACAAACAGGATCCTGGCGTAGGTTCCTGGGGAGTCCAGATGCTGCAGGATGAAGTGTAGGGCCATGTTGATGGCGTCGTCTACAGACCTGTTGGCTCTATATGCAAACTGCAAGGGGTCCAGGAGGGGGGCGGTGAGGGTCTTGAGATGGGAGAGAACCAGGCGCTCAAATGACTTCATGACCACAGATGTCAGAGCCACGGGTCTGTAGTCATTTAGTCCAGTGATCCTAGGTTTCTTGGGGACAGGGATTATGGTAGAGGACTTGAAGCAGGCAGGCACATGACATGCCTGCAGTGAGGAGTTGAAAATGCCAGAAAACACTGGGGCCAGCTCGTTTGCACAGTGTCTGAGGGTGGCAGGAGACACACCGTCTGGGCCGGGAGCTTTTCGAGCATTCAGACTCCTAAACTGCTTCCTCACATCTGCTTCATGAATATGAAGAGTTGTGGTCGGAGGAGGTGGTGTGAAATCCTCTTTTGTGTGGGGTGAGGAGGGGGGTGTTGCAGGTGAACAGTTTGAAGGTGGTGATGGCTCTATGGAGGGGGGAGAGGTGGGGGAATGAGTGTCCAAGTTTAAGCTGCAGACTTTACCCCCTGAATTTTCAGTTACTCCCTGCTGAGGAGGAAACTTTTGGAGCATAAATTACTCCAGAACTTGAATCCATCCCCGGTGTGAGGTCTACACTGAGTCTGTCTAAAGAGTCACAGTGACTGTGGAAAACATCATTTATGTTTTCCCTGATTTGTCTCACCCCAACAGTAAAATCCTGATCAGCAAACAGAAGATCATTGACTTGTTTCCCCGGATTGACAAAACTCTGGAGAACATCAAGGACGCTGACAACACCGTGATGCAGATGCAGATCAAGAGACAGAGGGAGTTCTGGCACTTACTTAAGATCGCCTGCGTGAGTAAATCTACATCAGTCGTTAGCAGCCCGGTCTACTTTTTCCAAGTTTGTGACTTCATTTGTCTTTGAAATGTAGTGTGGGGCATGATGCAAAGAAGAGGGGGAAGTTGTGTAACTGCTGGATAAAACTATTTATGTACAACTAAGAATAAAATGTCATCAGCTTTTCTCTGATTCTACAGAATATCAGAAGTTTTGTCTGATCAGCATCCAGCTCAGATAAATTTAGTGTACTGGTGTATAAGAAAAGAAAAAAGGAAGTCCTCTAATTGCTGGAGCTGGATCTTGGTAATATTCTGGAATAGGTTAAGTTCACTTATTCATTTTCTGATTCCCTTTTCTGCAGTTGTCAGACCCAGTGTTGGTGAGCTTTGTTGTACTTTCTGTGATCTCCTCAGACTCAGCTGCTATAAAGTACCAAACACAGAGTGAGCGGTAGGGTGTGCCGCCTGCATTCCTGCTGTAGGAGAGGGGAGGCGTGTTTTTTACTGCTGCCTGTAACGGTGTGTTTCTGTCTCTCCTTCAGGCTCAGAACTCGTCACGGAGCTCGATAGCAGCCAGTCCCGAGTCGTCCAACCTGCTGCAGGTTTCTCAGTGGTCCCAGTCGGCACAGCCCGTCAGCTCCCCGCACCCCCTGACCTCCCTACCAGGGCCAAATGACAGGTAACGTCCACTCAGCCGTGTTGGGACTGGGGTCAGCTCTACAACTGAGATGTTCACACTCCTTTAACATAGAATTCAGCAGAAGCACCTTCAGCATTGATAACAGCTGGTAGTTTATTTCACTTGGTGCCAAATTACTAAGGAAGTGTCGACACGGTGAGGTACCTGTTTGTGAATGTGGATGCGTATATGTGAATAAAAACAGCTTAGTAATTTCCTGTTCATATACAGGAAATCTCACATCAAACAAAAGACTTCACAGACATCTTCCTCTCTCGACAAATGGTCATGATTTGACTCACTCAGCCAAATTGTTGAGTGGTCTGACGGGCTGATTGTTGAGCCACAGCTGGACTCGGTCGGTCTCAAACTGAGAAGAGAACGATACAAACAGCTTTGTTCCAGTAGCTATTAATCATATCTTTCATTTCCTACATGATGTTGGTATGTTTTCCTCATTATGTCTCATATTGTTGTCTGATTTTTTTTAATTTATTTTTTTAACTGCATTTGAGGATGGATGACTCGCTGAGTGCAGGTCATATCTGCCCATGGGTACAGCTAAAGTAACCTGAAGCTAACCAGCTGTGGTGCTGGAGCTTGAATCAATGCAGTCGATCAGATCGCCATGTCCAAAGTGAACGTGTGAATCCTTCCTAACTGGTGCATCAACTCCCTGTTGATGTTCCAGAGAGACTGAAGCTTTATTCAGTCTCTCTTACCAGTTGCTGGCTGGTTGGGGTCATGGTTGGGGTCACTCTAAAGGTTGTGACTAGCTGTGCAATGCAACAGAAGATTCCCAGGAGTTAAGACGCCACAGGCAATCCTTGTTCCTGTCATATGTCTGTCACAGTTCCAGGAATGACTCGTGTGTCATGAAATCCCTCCATCCTTCTTTTTTTTCCTTCTGCTTTTAAAGTTTGGGCTTGTTGGCAGCTGACTAAGCATGTATTCCTGCCAGAGGTTCTTTTCCCCAGCAACATTTTCCAATTCCACCTGGGGCGATCCTGAGTTATTCCTAGGTCTACCTTTATTAGAGGTCTGAGGTCTCCACCCAGCTGGCTTTTCCCAGAAAATCTTCAAAGAAAGATGAAGAATGATTCAAATGACCCACATGACTCAAAAAACAGAGCTGCAGCACCTGCCAGACCTGGGAGGAGAGCTCACCAGCAGGGAGCTGTACAAGCTGGACTGCAGGCAAAAGCTGGACTTAGTTTTTGGGACCTGGAATATGCACAATAATTGAGTCATAATAGTTTTGTTTTTATGAAGCATTAAAAAAGACGCATGCCTGAGGAAGATCCTGTGAATTGGAGCATTGCATTTGGAAAAGTGTTTTCAGAATGCTCGTAGTTGGTACATTATCTTTTTCATTTTTCTAAATATTATTTCAGCCTGTTCTCTTCATTACATTTCCAGCCTGTGTTAGCTAAACTGTTAGTATAATAATAACTGTGCACATGACTGAAGCATGAACATACTGCCATATATATAGTTTGTAGGCCAGTGCTTTGTGTTTTGCCCTTGGGCGTTCTTCTTTCTGTTGCAAGATAGTAAACACATTGTGCATATGAAGGAGGCGTCATGTGACTGAATTGTGTCTAACAAGCTGTGTGCGTGTCCTTCAGTGATGCTGCCCCACGACTCCTGCAGGAGAACCAGAAGTACCTCAGTCAGCTGACCAGCCTGATGCAGGAAGCTGCTGACGAACAGGCCAACAGCATAGTGGTGAGTTTGCTGCTTTTTATCTGCTGCTTTTAAGGTTTGTTTGTTATTGGAGAGGGCTGCATTTAAATCAGCCATAAAGTCTTAATTTATTTTTATTTTCCCTTTGGGAAACTAGACGCACTAGGCGTCTCCTATCTGCATCTGTGAAGGACCTGAGGCCTGTCAGCATGTCTTTAATCTCATTTAGGAGAACAGGACAGGACCTCGCTGTTCTTTTTTTAGTCTTATTATGAAGGAAGGAACTTTTTGTTTCTTTTAAGCTTGCAGATGTGATAAGAAAACAGAATCACACAGTGTGTTCAGTTTCCTGTATATTATATAGTAATATTTATTAGCGTGATAAATATATATTATACATTTTGAATTATATTTTTATCAGTTATTAAAGATGATGACAAGCTAACACGTTATAATAACCAACATTTAAAAACAAATCATAGTTAAATTGATAGTTATTTAAACGGTAGGGATGCTATTAATCATATTTATTCATGTCTTCATGTTTTAGTTATATATTGAGTTATCCTAGCTGATAATCAATTATTTGAGGCTGTTCTCATTACCAAGTACTGCTGTTCATTCGAAGCCATAATGCTTGATTTATACTCATAAATCTGACATTTGACTCCAAAATTTGATCAATACTTTAATAACGTCTTTCAGTAAAAGTCACTTTTGTTCCAAGCTCATCACAAACAGCTCAGTTTGAGCACAACATGATGCACTCCACCAGGTGTTCTTCCGTTCTTCACTGGTCTTCACATCACACCAGGAGCATTTTGGAAGCAGGGGTCTTTTATTTTGAAATTCTCTCTGTAGTTTCTGTATGCATCTTGAGATCTGAGGTTATTTTCAGAGATGCAGTACAGAACGCTGCTTCTGAAACGCACCGCAGTGCACCAGGTGGAAGCCGGTCATGGTCATGAATGCGTGCAGTGAGCCGTGCATTTCACGGGGTCACTCTAAACGGCACTCTCAACACAGTACTGCAAGTTATGCTTCAGGTTTCCTTTAGCGTCAGTTCCATGAAACACATGTAGCGTTTATGGTCCGACTGGTCTCACGCCTAACCGTGAGAATGCACGGGGCGCCGCTGGGTCGCATTTCAGCTCTGACGCAGGCGCTGAAGCTTATCCCGCCAACTCGCATTAATGCCGGCAATTCTAACTAATGTGCTGCTGCGTGTTTCAGAAACACTCCAGTGGCAGCTTCTCAACAGAAGTTGTTTGAAGTTCAATAGAGCAGGTCACACAGAGAAAAGCTTTTCAAAATAAAAGACCTCACTCTAAAATGCTCCAGGTGTGATCTGAAGCCTTGCAACAATTGGGACAGAGCACACCCAACATGGTGCATCTCTTTAAAGTTGCCACTTCCAACTTATGTTAGCAGTGATTTTTTTTTTAACCATTTTTAGTAAAGTTTTATCAAAGATTGTTGTAAAGTCAAAATGTTAGACCATTAATTGTTAACAAATATTAGGTTTTTAATTATAATAATATTTAACTGTAAACTAAGGTGGGTTAGCTGTCATATTATCTTTTATTAATGATGATTGTTGTGAAGCGTTATCAAAACTCTGTAAAACGAGACTGTTTGCAACTCACATCCAAAACTTATTAAAAACTCAGAAATTAAGATATATTTGCACTTCAGCACGTTACATATTCTCGGTTGTCTTTTACTAACGCCTCCATTTCCATCTTTCAAGGACCAAGACTGGAGCTGGACGAAATACGAAACTTTAACAACAAAACTAAAAAAGCAAAATTCGTAAAGTCCACCCTCCACCCCCGTCTGAGTAACACTAAGGACTGTGAGCTGATAACGCGGCTGAGCGGCGTCTAACAGTACAGTAGTACAGTTTGTACATGGACTCGGGATTTTCTCGTGAAAACGACTTTCCTGCTCATCTTTAAAGAAAAAAAAAAAAAGCTGAGTTCACGCATGCTCAGCGGCGTCCGTCTCCTCCCATCGTCTCACATGGTGGAAGGTTTGATTATTGAGCTTGTTTTTTATGACAAAACAATGAAGCTGTCTCTCTCTCTCTTCTTTTCTTTATGCTGCACAATATTCATCACACTTTGGTTTTTACTATCACTGCAAAAATGGAGCAAACTATAGCACCACATTTGAGGGCTTGACGTGGATCAGTCAGGTGGGAGAGCGTTCGACAGGAACGTGGGAACTCGTTTGACCCCGTGGCATGAACGGGAAACGCAGGAAGGTGTCGGGGGTCGCTGGAAGGCGGGTGTGGGGAGGAAATAAGAATCAAGCAAAGAGCACTTTGATACTCCCATGTGTCCTCTCTGTGAAGAGGTGAAACGTTCCCAGCTGCCAAAAATGTTGCAGAATTTAAAGCGAGCAGAAACTGTCAGCGTCGGTTTGATTGATTTACTAGAAACGTTTGAGGGCGCGTGTTGAATTCTCTGTATGTACGTTTTTAAAAAAACAAGTGTTACAGGCAGAAATCCCATGGCTGGCCATTATGTTAATACGATGTGTATATTGTATGTGTGTCTTTTTAACCGTCATGGATGTAAGGCGGGGTTTTCTCGTCTCGTTCGGGTGCAAATAATGTACGCTAAATTCATAGTCGTGCAGAGCTGAAACGATCAGTCCGTAGTTTCCACAGAAATCTGAGTAATCCTGTAATCAATTCTGCATCAAGACGAGCGGGTGGTGGGGCTCGTGTTCAGACTGTGCCGTAAAACCACTGCAGAAGAAGAGGACGGGGTTAGGAGACCAGAGGGCTGCAGGGCGGAGGCAGATTTAATGGGACGGTGAAGGATGGCGAGGCTTGCTTTGTACTGCACGCATGAGCTGCTCCAGAGGAAGTTCTTTTCAGATTTTCAGATTAAAATGTAAATCTAAAAGTGCACGTTTCCAAAGAGCAATTTATATCGACGAGGTTACCTGCCGAGCTGCATGTCAGTAAAGTTCGCACAGGAACCTTTGCACATTTAGTCACCGTTGCAGAAAATAAATTGCATATTCATGATGATTAAGAATAAATAGCTCGATTTACACTTGGCCGACCTCCCACTTTAAGATGATCTGGGCCGTCTTCAGCACAGCGGCCGTGTTTGCATCTCTGAGTGAAATTGCCGTTATTCCTCCAAATCAGTGAACACGTTTAATTTTCTGCAAAAGCCTCGTGATGCCCGTCTGTCTGAGAGTTTAGTTTTTCTCGAGTCCAGTGAAAGCTCGGTTAACAAAAACATGAAAAATCTTTTTCACTGCAGATCTGATATCTTTGTCTCCCTGTCAAGGCTGAAAACAAATATTTTGTGCACATCATGGGTAATTCTGCTCATCTTATTTTCATCTTATTTTTATGGATTTGAAAGATCTGAAAGTCTAAAACCTTGTTGGTGTATTTTTGACAGATTAAAGTCAAATTATTTATTCAAAAGAAAATAAATCAAGTGTTTCTGATCTCTCTGAGATGATAATTGATCTTTTTCTTTATCAAATACGGCCAAAAAGAAAACCATCTCAAATGTCAGTGCCGTTTTTGAACAGTTTTATATTCAGACTTTTTGTTAAGAGAGATTTTAAGGATTCTCAACTTTTTCTGAAATCAGAGAGAAATGAGTGATAGTCAGTGATAACAAATGTGCCATCCACCAGAGTCTGTCATTCAAAAAATGAGGAAATGTAAAACAAATGAGTAATCTTACCCTCTTATCCGGCTCAGGCTTGCAGGGGGTGAGTGTGGAAATCATTTCCTCTATTTTTAAATAATTGCATGTGTAAAGCTCAAGCCTTCACTAAGTCACATCGCACACCTCAACACGTTTATCAGGTAAAGAAAACAGGATCCAGGTTCAATTTTATTTCATTAGCCGTCGGCTCAGTGGGATAGTCTGATGCTCTGCGTCCCACCAGTTGGACCCACTCCACAGTTTGAGAACCAAAAGGTAAAACTGGTGTAAACAGAACCAGAGCTGCTCTTACTTTCATTCGTTCCTGTAGGAGGTCACGACTGAAGTTACTGACAGTGAGAAAGTTACATTTGGAGCCTTTCAGTGATAACAAATAATGTCATCTGCCAGAGTCTGTCATTCAGGAAATGAGGAAATAAAAACAAATCGGATGCATTTAGTTTGTTTGGATTGTCTGCGAGTCTCAGCTCGAGTTTTCCCCTCATAACGATCAATCTGTCAAAAATTAGGGGTTTTTGTCCTTATTTTTTAAAAGTCCAGAATTGATTCATCCATGAGTAAAGCAGTGATTATTATAATGTTACACGGTATATTGATGGTGCTGAAGAAACGCTTCCTGTTTCTCCGCTTTCTCAGATCTGAGTAACAGGAAGCCGAGAACGTCTCGGGCTAATTTGCTTGAAAAACAAATAAAGACTAGCCGGCTAATCGTTTCAGCTCTCACCACAAACACGAGTCGTTTCTCTCTGACATCCCATAATGACAGGAATGCAACAACGTTGGTGCAACGCGGTCGGGCTTCCTCTAATCGGAGCGATCGAACCCGTGAGCGATGGGTTGAATGTGCTGTACGTCGTGTTTCTTTGGGCCAGAGAGAGAAATGAACTTTCTTGTATTTATGAAGTTAAAGTGCAATGGCTAAAATAATATTTTCTTTTTGTTTTGTATTTAAATAACTCCGTTTGTTTCTTTCCATTTGAGTTTTGTTTCCGTCTGCTGGTTTAAGTATGTTCACTTTTTAGAAATGCAATTGTATGAAGATCAAATGTTTACCTGGAAATAAAATAAATCACTTTGGCACGATTCCTGTGTCGATGCTTCTTTCAGTTACTCGGTGAGGAAAAGCTGGAGCCCGGCCAAACACTTGATTGCGGGCTGAACCCAACATAACAAGAAGGTTGTTATTTCCATCTGCGGTAGTTTATATTTGTTTGGGTTTGTCTCAGCTCCTCTGCCTCGCACTCTTGCAGAGGTTTATAATTTCATCCAATTTGTGGTTTAATCTGATCTATTCAGTTCAACTTTATAGCGCCAAATCACAACAGCACTGCTCTCAAGACACTTTGAGCAGCCAACCTCGACACGATTCACTTAACCGCCCCTCGAATACATCACGCAGCGATCACAGCAGTGAAACGAGCTGGATTTTGGGAATCCGATGAGTACACCTAAAGTGCATCTGTGACGACAGACGTGACACACTGATTAAATCAGAAGCATGATGCAGGTGGTCCCAAACTGTAGACAGGCTTAAACTCATCAGCTTTAAAAATATTAACAAGATGAATATGGAATTTATGAGAAACGTACAATGCCTTTTTCCTCTGAGGGCTTTGGCTGCCAGACTTAGGATCAGTTGATTAGTTTTGTGTTCAATTGTATTATTCTGTTTTTGTTTTTACATGTACGGATTTAATTTCCTGCTAATTTCTTTCCCTTTTTTGTACTGCTGGGATTCTTCTGGTGGTCCCCGCTGACGTAGCAGCGTCCATATTATTTGCTTTTTGTAACCACGGACTGAAAATGCTTCCCAGATGTGCTGCTCCTCAGCGAGGAGGAGGGCGGATCATATTTGTTTGTGCTGAAACTTGAGTCTCTAGTCACAGTAATCATAGTCATAGTGGGTCATTGGCTGTGACACTGTGACAGCATGTAGCTCACTAACTGTAATGTTGTGCTTTTACGTTTAAGCTGACTAATTTGTCCTCAGATTTGACTCATCGAGAGTTGAGCTGCTTTTTACTGCTTGTCCATTTCTCTAATTGCAGCATCACTGATAAAAGGAAGGAAACGTCCTGACAGGACTTCCTGTACACGTTAGTGTTCTCTCGGTGTTTCTCGGGACTTCATAACAAACAAGCTTAATGCAAACAGTTTGATTGCACTCAGTGCGGTCACCGCTCTGTAATCGTGACTCAATAGAGGACGGGTATTTTTTTTTGGTCGGTATCAAAAAAGGGGAAGTTGGTATCATTCGAGATAACTTGACTCGGGTATTCAATAATTTTATCTGAGTCTTTTAAGAGTGAGTCAGTGCAGATGATCATCTTATTCACTCTTCTTCTCATGACCTGGTTTAAGTGTTTCTGGCTCAGCATCAACTGTTTTAGCACACGTCAGGAAGTGATTTGTCAGAAGTGTTACAAGCACGAAAAGTCATGCCAGGTCACAGCTGTCGGCCTCCGGATAGGCTTAGATTACAATCTTATCTCTGCACACTGAAACGTTTAGGACTAATACGCTGTTATTAGTAATATTCTGTTATTTTACCCCGAGTTTAAAATAGTTATAGGCAGGAAACTTAAACGTGGTTTGGGAGACCACACAGAGGTCACTCTGAAGTATGTTACCCTAGAAAGTGTTGTGGTTTTGTCCTGCAAAAGGAGCTCAAAGCAGAGTAAACACACAGCTGGCTGCAGGGTTGAGTCGACGCCCGGATCTCTTTGAAGAGAAGGCTTCGTCATCGCGTATCAACTCGTGCAGAATGCGCTCGTTAAGTGGGCAGCAAGCACAGGCGAAACGTTCTGCTGCCAAACAAGCCACGCTCATTGTTAACCGTTGTTTTATTAGCCGTGAATCAGAGTGAATCAGACGAGCTCTGGGAGAGAAACCAGCACCCGCCCCCTCTACTCAGTCCCACATTCCTCCAGGCTCGACTCCCATGTCGGATTTACAGCAGAGCTTAAAGTCACATTTCCCCCCCTTTTTACAGTGAGATTTACATATCTGACATTAAATATTTGTGGGAGTTTGTCTAGCAGAGAGTCATATTTATGCTTCTCTTGTCTTCGTCCTGCAGTTTGCTGCTTCAGCTACTATGATAGTTTGGACAAAAGCGAGAGGGTTGCCGGTTTGGTGTGGAGGTCCTGAGGTCAGAGTCCTGACCTCAACTCCATCAAACATCTTTGCCAGAGCCGGTATCACAGAACATCAGTGTTTGATCTCAACAGAATAAACGCCTTCCAGCTTGAGGCCGACTCCCATGTTAAAATGGTTTAAAGCAGAAATAAGCACGTTTAGGTTTGCTTCTATGGATATCTTCCCCTTTCATAACAAAAATCCAGAGGGTGAACTGCTCACTTACCCCTCCGTTTTTGTTTTTGAGTCCTGCTCTGCTTGTACGTGTAAACCTGCAATCAGCCAATCGCACGCATATCACATGTAGACACGGTCAAGACAACTTGTTGAAGTTCAAACTGAGGATCTGAATGGGGAAGAGTGCTTGCTGCCAAACGTTGTGGCCTAAATATTTCAGAAACTGCTGATCTGCTGCAATTTTCCCACACCATCCCCGAGTTTACAGAAATTGGTCTGAAAGTGGAAAATGTCCAGCGTGTGGGAGGTCTATGGGGAGAAAAAGCCTCGCTGATGTCAGAAGCCGGTGGAGAATGGCCTGGCTTCTTCGAGCTGATAGGAAGGAGGCAGAAACTCAAATAACGACTCATTACAGTCAATGTATGCAGAAGAGCATCTCTGAATGCACACATCAGACCTTGCTGATGGGCTACAGCAGCAGGAGACCCCACGAGCATCACTCCTGTCAGCTAAGAGCAGGAAACTGAGGCTACAGTTCCCACAGGCTCACTCTAATGAGACAACAGCATAATATACATTGTATGAACAGTTTAGGATGCTGCTGGTTTAATGGTGAGCATCATTTAAACCCCTCAGCTTACTGACGCAGTGTACCTGTCTTCCGATTGCTACTGCAGCATCCTGAACCTCAGATCGTTCGCTGTACTTGAATGGCCTCCAGTCGCCTGATCTCAGTCCAGCAGAGCACCTCTGGGAGGTGATGGAACCCGAGGAAGGCTTCCAAGAATTAGGGAAGTTCAGAAGGGAAGAGGGGGTCCAGCATGGATGTTTGTGTTTTCTGTGCTGCAGTAAGACGTCACTTGAGCCTTTTGATTCACAGTGAAAGTTCTTGTTTCTCCGAAGAAAAGTGAGCAGCATTTCAGTTAACAGAAGACATTAAAAAAAACAAAAAAACAAAACAATGTCTGGATGCCAAACAGGAAACTCAGACGATAAAGTCTGAGTCCTCGCAGCTGCCTCTCAGACCTGCTTCCTTTAGCCGCTCATTAGAGACCAGTAAAGACACTGTTTGCTGGGGAAGAACAATAGAAGGCTGCTCGGTCAGTTAATTAAATGTTACACAAGGAAAACAAATCCAATGTAACGGATGTAATTTCCCTCTGTTTTGGACCACACCAATGAATTACACAGTCAGCTGATGCAACATGATCACACTGTCGAAATAAAGTGCACTTTATTCATTGCAACAGAAAGCGCTTCATGGGAATTCAAGTTTTTACATCTGATCATACGCAACTGATTACAATTAAAGAGGACCGTTATCATGTGAAATCATACGCTGTAGTTTTGGATTAATGACTACTTTGCAGTTCAACATATGAAACCTTCACAATTCTTCCTAGAAAAATATCAGTGCAGTTTAAGAGAAAACAAACAAAACAGTAATTTCTCCTCAAGGCTCCATTACATCCACCCATTCCCCACCTCTGTGGGACTGAACGAACAATGGAGCTTAAAAAGGTTTAAAGCTGAACCACAGTAACACACAGAGGCCACGTAACGGACGTACCTTCAAGTACAGTGCAAAGTAATGTAAAAAAACACTTCGTAGAAGGCACAAAATGGCTGTGAAGGCACTGTAGGGACTGCATGAAAGTCAAAAATCCAAAAAAGAAGGAAAAAAATACAGTTTCCCAGTGATCTCTCAGTATCAACTGGAACTTTGTTTAATTTAAAAGAAAAAAAAAAGGCACAACAATCACAAACCAGCAGGTAAAAAACATTTGAGGCTGTGTTTGCGTGCAGCTATTAGTGAAACCTCACTAGTCGCTCTGTTTTTGGTCTCAGCTGTTCATTTGGCTATTTTTACAAGCTGGTCTCCAAAGAAGAATTTAAATAAGAACAATTAAGGATGCAGACGAACACTGTCTCGTGGTTGGTTCAAAAAGTTTTGAGTCCAGCATTTAAATAAAATAAAGGGTAGCACATCGTTACAATTTTGAATAACGGCATTACAAAACCACCCGAATCAACGTTTCACACCACTTAGAAACATGTTGGGATTAGTAACAGGTTTACAGACTGGCTGTTGTCACTCGCAGTTAGATTCTTCTACCTCTTTCTGATATTTTGGAGATTATTTCGTTTTTCTTTCAGGCTGCTGGACTCAGATTTCCTCCCTAAACCTATCATTTTGCTCACCAGGACATAGAAATTACACGACTGATCAAATTTGATAAAAACAGTTTAAAACTTTGCAGACTTTCCCTAAAATATACTTTCAAAAATCTTTTTAACTGGAAGTGAAACATTGCCGGCATATTTGCTGCTGAAGAATTCTCCCATACATTTCCTGACTGTCTCCTAAAATGCCTCCAGCTCTTTACTCACATGCAGTCTGCTTGAGATGAGTTTTCACTGCTGAATACACTCAGGCTAGTTAGGCTGAGAGCTGCCCGAGCTCCTGCTCATTGTTCTTTTACTGGAGCTGCAGCTGTTTTCACATTCATTATGAAGTTACAGATTCTTTTGTTTGTTGTGTTTTTACTGCTGAGTAAGCAACAGGCAAGTAATAGGAAAGTTGATCACTTCTATTTGTTGGTGATCAGGTATTGTATTAGTATACACCATCAGTCAACTGTCTGATTTACTGTGTTACACAGCAGCCGTCTTTGATTCTGCATGGCCACACGGACATGAACCTAACAGGGCGTATTAGGGCCACTAAAATTTGTTGAAAAAAAGTCAAATTTACAAGAAAACGTACCAAATTTAAGAGAATAAATTTTTAACTTTACAAAAAAAAGTCTACAAGCAAATTTGTGCACAAAGACTGGAAAAAGTGGCAAACTGTCTTATAAATGTTCACCTCTGAAGCTTGAGTTTCCCCAATGCTGTAAAAAATGTTAAAAGTGCTCCGACATTATGCCTGTGCAATTTTAACAATGCAGGGTGGCCCATGATTTAGAGACCTTTGACATAATTAGGATTTTCTTTCTTATTATGTTCAGACTAGTTGCTTAGTTTTGCTTTGCTCCTGTTTAATTACGTCCTAAATGACTCCCAGCAACATTCAGATCTCTTTATATCACAGTGGAGCTGCAAGCTCAGTTCTGTGCAGGTATCAGGACAAGTGACCCTTTGACATGGACACTTTTTCACATTATCTTATAAAAAATACTGATTAGAGCTGCTTGTAGAGGCACAGAGTGTGTGAGTGTGCATCCCAAACAAGCTACAAACTGAACACATTACCATTCACGAAAAAGATAACTGCCTAATCATTTTCATGCAGTCCCTGAAACACTCATTAAATAAATACTGTAAAACAATATCTTATAAAAGTGCTTTACACGCGTTACACAGGAGGAAAACTGCAGCAGCAGTTAATTTAGAACGAACCCCACCACCAGAAAACAGCCAAAAAAAAAAAAAAATCAGACTTTTCCACAGCAGCTGTGCAGCTGTTGGTCTCGTGTCATTAAAGATACTCTCAGCTGGTGGAGCCTCGGTCTGCACAACATCTTTACCGGCTTTGAAGCGTAAACTTTTCCACAGAGCCGAGCGTCGGCGAGTCTCAAACACTGATGCGGCTGCGGGCCACTCGCTTTTAAAAAGTAAAACTACACCCTGGATGTCTCTGCTTTGGTACAAGTCGATACTCTTGATGAGGATTTCATGCGAGTCTGTGAACACGAGGCTTCGCTGGGGGCGGAGGAGGCGCGAAAGGCTTTATTCTGGTTGCCGGCGAAGGGCTGGGCTTGACCGGAGGTACGGGAGGAGGGGTTGGTTTCACTGCTTTGTTCTGAAAAACAAAAAATGATTCTTAGGTGAATTTATGAAAGCAAATTAGCAACTTCTGCACCTCAACACTGCTTCCTGTCATCGGGATGGATGCTCATGTTAAACTAAAGTTTCAAATAATGATGGCTCTGCATGATGTCATGGAGATCCCTTATATTGTCACGTATTCCAACTCTGTTTTTAAAGAGTCACCCAATCTGTTTGTTTGAGACAGCTGATGAGCTCTAGCTTCACGAAGGCCCAGTGTGACATGCATAAGGATTATTTTGAGTTGTGAATCATGCAAAGCTACTCGAGTAAGTCCAAAAATAAAAAACGTAGAGCTGGAAAATGTTTGGGCAGACCAGTTGATTCCTATTGATCCCCAGAAGAAAATGCTTTAAACAGGTAGAAAGCAAAGAAAGAACATCTAAATATGAATGAATCAATGAAAATAAATAAAACACGAGTGACCTTTATATGACGTCCTGGGGAAAAGTGTTTAAAATTCTCTGCTTTGGCGCTCACCTGTGTTTTATTCAGAGGCGGTAAAGGTTTAGATGGAGGTAGAGGTTTCATCTGTGGTGAAAAGGAAGAAGACTGTTATTTAACTGGGATTTAGAGCAGATGCTGGCACTTTACAGGCTCCTAATGAACATTAAAGTCCAAGTTTGATCACATGGAAACCAAAAATCAACAATGACATTATTTCATAAAGCCACAGAGCTACACTGATGTTTATCAGTCCTCTGTGACTGGCTGTTCCAGTAAAGTCTGCAAAAATCAACAATCCTAAGCTGTTTTCATTAAACAGCTCAACACTGTAGACTAAACTACGTCCAAAAAAGCTGAGTTTAAAGCTGGGCTCAGTCTACACGATACCAGCAAAGAAACAGCTGACAGTTTCTTCTGATTGGCTGCCCCTCATAAAGATGAGATTGAGTGAGGTAATGAGTCACACAAAAAAAATGAAGCCTGAGCTTTTAGCTTGTAACCACGGTGATCACATTATAATATTACACAGGGCAGAAAGTAAGGAAAAAAGATGGCAGGTCTCCTTTATGCATGTTATTTAACATAGTTTCATTTTTAAGCTTTAATAGACACTCAAGTTGCTGCATTATGTCTTTAAAAACAAAAGTCTTACCGGCTCAGTTTCCGACGTGACTGACGATGAAGACGGTTTCAGCGGTGGCTGGAAAACAAAAAGCGGTTTGTCAGCATTTCACAGTAAAACAGACCTGCGTACACCTGGCTGCTCGGCGTACCTGTGGGGCGGGTCTGCAGGGGGTCACTCGACCCATCAGAGGGGTGCAGGCCTGTTTCGCTGTGGTCTCCATGAAGGTGGGCTGACTGATCTGAGGTCTTTCTTTACCACTTCCTTCTTGGAACGACGGGTTCAGCTTCCCTTCAGCTGAATGCACTTTCCTGTGAAGACAACATTTATTTATTTAGCCGGGAAGAAGAAGGAAAAGATTAAGAGTCCAGACCGCAGAGGGGGGAAACTACCTTGTAGCGATGTAGCGCTCCATGTCGTCCTTCTTACAGCACATCAGCCCAGCAATCAGCAGAGTGACGACCAGCAGGATGGAGACTGCTGCGCACACACCGGCTATCAGCCCAACCTGATCTGCAGGCAGAGGAAACGTAAAACTGCACTTAAGTACTGATGCGTCTTTTTTTGCACTCTGTATGTCTAAGTGCAATTAAATTCTGAACAGCATTGCCTTCAGAACTGCGTTAGTCCTTCATGGCATAGATTCAACAAGGTGCTGGAAACGTCCCTCAGAGACTTTGGCTCATATTGACTCTCTCCGTTAGCCACAGAGCTCCTGGAGTCATTGAGTCAGATGATGAAATCTGGTCATCTTCTGAGCAATAAAACTGGGTCACGTTTTCATTTTGTTCAGTTTAATTTAAGCTCTAACAAAGGGTCTTAAAGTTCTGCTACAGCTCTCGTTAAAAGCAAAAACCAGACCCGATTTATATTTGTCCGATCTTCCCTTCAAGATCGACTCCTTGTGCACTCTGGACCAACTTCTCCAGCTACTTTGGGCTGCTCCCTTCCTCACCAGTGGGTATCTGGTGTGGTTTTACACCAGATGCTGTTCCAGATAGATTCCCAAAGGCATCCGTTTCTGCTCCCGGGGTCAAACCATGGATCTTTCACTAGTTAGGTGACTGCACCAAACCACTGCACTATGTTGTGTGTCTTTGCCCCGTCTAAGTCCTGATCTCTCCACTTGAACTCGAGCTTTTCTTTGGCTCGTTCAGTAAGTAAATATTTAGTCTGGGTTTCATGTCGGTTGGTTGAATGGTTGAATGAGGATGCAGGAATCCTAATCCCCTCATTTCATTACTGCAGAACTTCATGTTGAACGACCACAGCGACCACACTTGGGTCACAGTTCTTGCTCTCTGAAAACAGCCGTTTGCTCCCAGCTCTCTGAGTAACAATGATCCTCGACACGAACAGTTTGTGGCCCAGGGTGAAATCACAAAAGCGCTCCTGAAAGTGGTCGGAGCAGGATTTCCACGGAGCGTTTTACAAACGGCAGCCACTCTGGAAGAAGTGATTGAAGATTATCTAAAAGCTAAATTTAAACCAGTCGCGGTTTTTGCTTTTTCTTTGGCCTCAGGAGCAAAATTTTCTGATCACGACTTTTAAGTAACAAATAAAAATGAAGATTTTAGTTTAAATTTTACAACTAAATCGTGAGGAAGCTCTTGAACTGTGGCTAAAAACTCAATACGAAGCATCTTTTTCCCGTTTTAACAACTTACCAGCTTCTGGTTTTGCAGAACGATTAGACTATCAAATCTGAAAATGTTATTTTCTAAGAGCAACATGAAAATGTTATGTAAAAGGAATTTTCCACACAAACAACAAGAGCAGTGTTCAGAGGAAGTTATGTCATCCTCTTATTTTCTTAATTAGCTTTAGTTTCACAAAATTTTTTGTTTTGTTCAGAGGTAAGTGTGTTTTAGAGTCTCTTCTTCCCCTTTTCTTTGGTACTATGTGGACAGAAAGTTGCACAATTATGAGGCGCAACTCAAGTTCAAGCTTCATGTGCAGAATGTAAATACATTCTGCACATGAAGCAGAGACAACCAAGTCTTCTACAAAAGAGTGTTGAAACTAAATTAGAGCAAACGGGGTCAGTGCTGGGAGGCTCTCATAATGAATCACTCATGTTTCTTATTCACTGGGAAAATGATTCAACAAGCAGCTGTGACTTGTTTTCATCTGAAAGTCTCATTGAGCCTGTAGATTACAACAGCAGCTGAACGCCTCTAAACGTCCTGCGTCATAGTTTATCGTGAACGTTAAATGCACCGCAGCGTCTGTACCTTGAGGTAAATCCGCGTACTGGACGTTGCATTTGGGAGGAGCCCAGCCGGGATTACAGTGGCACTCGTTCCTGTGATTACACACCTGCGGATAAAAAGCAGTTAAATGATTAAAAACACGAGTCGTGGAAGTGGAGCTCATGTTCAACGCGACTGGTTTGGATCGTGTTTGAAAGGCGTTTGCAGTTTTTTATCTGATCGTTTCTTCATTTTATTCAGTCAGTGTTTAAAGTCATTTATAGTTTCTTCCCCCGTCGTTAGGAGGCTGTTACATTCCTTGAGACTAGCTGCATTTGTCCAGTTTTAGTCTGCTGTGATGGCTAAAACAACATAAACAGTGCATTCCTCATCTCTTTTCTCATACCTAGCACCACTTTTAGTTTGACTTATTTGGTAATAACAGCTCTTTCTTTCTCTCTCGCTGCTTTTTCATCTCTTTTTTAATAATTTTTGGCTCTGAAGCTGCTATTGTTCCTGCCCCGTCTGCTCTCTGCTGTTTCTTCTACATCCCTCATTAAAACATCTAAGTTTATGGCTGCCTGTATGTCGCCTGACAGACTAAACTCAGGGCAAACATGGAGCTCGGGTTCAGTTTAACACCAGATGTTGTTTCAGGTGAGGGGATGAGGTGAAGGTTCATGTTTAATGGTGTGAAAATTACGGTTAGTTCTCTGATTTTGAACTTACTCCGTTGTTGTTGCACTTCTTTGCACAGTCCTCCCTCTTCCCGTAGGCTGACACATCCACACATCTGTTATTGAGGCAAACCTGAGCACAAACGTTTGATTCTGAGTAAAACGGCCAAAATATTCAAAGAAAATTAATCGTCCTGCAATGTGTCTCCCTGTGACAGTTTTACCTTATCCGGCGCACATTTCGTGCCACTCGGCACCATGTCCAGGTTTCTCCTCTTATCGTCGTCCACGGCGAGTTTGCACTCTTTGCCGTACATTGTGTTGTAGCTTGCCCGTTTCCCTGTGATAGACTCGCCTCCTTCCTCACAAAACATCGATCCGCACTTAACATCCCTACACAAAACAAAAGCATTAATCCAGAGCTTTGTGGTGCTTCTTCATCACTCTGAATTCAGGGGGAATGACAGATGGTGACACGTACTGTGGAGCACAACGAATGAAGCCGAATTTGTTCTTCCCACAGTTAGCGCCTTCCTCGCCACGCTGGTTCAGGTTGAAACATAAATCTGGTGCCACCTGGGCCCCTGGAAGAAGGCACAGAAGGAAAGCTTCATGTTAATCTGTCATTTATTGTCGGTCTGAGACTCTACATCCTTACGTTTGCTATACTAATGCACCTCCGAGCACATGGGTTCAGCAGTGTTTTTAAATTCTAAGCGTCCAGAGATGCCAGAGTGGGATCGATGTCAGAGTTAAATATAACTAAAGTGACGAGGCGCCTTAACTGCACGCTGCTGAACTCATCAAAATGGCCAGAAAAGTACTGATTTAATGTGTTAGTCTTGCCTTTTATCAATGGACTGTATTTACAAACCTCTTATGAGACTTTCTTTGCAGTCGCTTACGTAACAAAATGTATTAAATATTTATTTGGACAGATATCTTAAAGTTATTTCCACCACATGACAGTAAAATCTAAATGTTTGTAGACCAATGGCTAAAAGCTCCTTGAGGCTTATCTCATCTACTCAAAACAGTGCTGATTTATCCCTAAATGAACCAAGAAGTAACGCCGGAGGGTGGGGCGGGGGACAAGCTAAGGCCTGCAGTTCCCCTCATGGCCACTTGAGGCCCCAAAAGCCAGTCAGTTCCCAAAGACTTCCCTTGTTAAAATGTCCAACTTTACTGGAGCATTTTTGCATGTTTCGGTGTAACAGCTGCAGGCTGGATGATTATTTTTAAATAACTGGTTCATTAGGATGCTGTTAAGCCTCAGAGTCAGCGGTGTGGTGCTTTGGTTCACAGGCAGCCTGTTAGAGCTCACCTACGCTAACCCGAGCCGCTGAGCTCAACCTGTTCTCTGTGTCTGTGCTGTTGGAGCCTTTCTGGACTTTTTTTAATGGAATCACAAGCTGTACAGTTTAAGCGTGCAGCTTGCTAACCACCAGGTGATAACCTCGTGCTCCATCCTCGCGTCTGGATATGGTGAGCGAGGCTTCAAAATGCACAGCCAAAAACCAGAGTCACATTTTTATATACAAACCCTGAGGTGCACCTTTCTAACTGAGCGTGCAGATATCAGCCAAGAAAGCAAAAGAGCCTCAAACTGGGACTTCCCAAACCAGCAGCTGATGTCTTCGATAGCAGCATGCTGAGCGTACCTGGTCCAAAAAGCCTCCAGCAGTGATGCTCCTGGGTGGGACACTGGCCGTTGTAGCAGTATCCCTGGACAGTGCCGCTGCCCTGGAGCGTTTTGTAGCAGGGCTTGCCGTTCATCTCGAAGCTGTCTTCAGGACAATCCGACGACAGTCCGGTGCAGAACTCGGGCAGGTCGCAGGTCCCGGCTGACTGCCTGCACACGCTCCCAGATGACTTCAACTGAACAAAAATAATATTTTAGTGTTTTGACCTTCTGTATGTACCAGATCTGGACAATAATTCGCTTGTAGGTTTTTGTGGCACTGTTCCAGGCCTTGAAACTGTCAGTTGAGGAAGGATGTGGTGAGTTATAAAAAATTGAAACAGCAGGGTGTTATCCTCCCTTTCCTGTTAGTGCTGAACAGCGGGTGTAAGAGTAACCTTACATTTATTAGCCAGAGGCAGGGTGTGTCTTTAGGAAAGGTCCTGAACTTCACAGAGAATGGGGATTGTTATATCCCAACAGCTACAACAGAAAATCGGCATTCATTTCATTTACTGGACCGATTGTCAAAAAATTCTGAAATATTCATAATCCCGAGTATTAATCTTGATCTATTTTAGTGACGCGCTGACTTTCCTGCAAATTTTCAGTAAAATATCTCAGCAGTTACCAGAAGACGAGCCTCTGATCCTCCTCCAAGGCCTTCATGAAGATATCTTTTGAAATATTTTTGCAAAACATGGCATACTTTGATAGTGCCTGACTTTTTTTTTAAATATAGCACATCAATATTTCTCAGTTATTTAAAAAAATATATTTCAGTATCTACTCAATGTAGATAAGAGGATTAATGTTCCCAGGAGAAAAATCTTACTCATTACAACATCCAGAACCACCTACTGAGAAACTAGCTGCTGGTGTGTGCAATCGTTTTTGTGACACAGTGACGTTAATGACTGTTTTTCCATAAAACGTCCCCGGTGGGAGCCAGCTCAGCACAAAAGAGGTGTGCTGGGAGCTTCGTGGGTTTCTGTGGCTGAGCTGCTCCAAGCACTGCATGTTTTACAGATTCTGGAAGTTCAAATCATTGACAACTTTCACTACCTCACTAAAGTTGGTAACTATCTATGACACACGGCAGAGAAGCTGCACATATGGCTCGAATTATCATTATTTATTCTGGTGTGCTTTACAAAATGTGTCATTGCATTAGGCAGAGCTGGAGCTGAGAAAAACATAGCAGCTTCGTCCAGAATCCAGCTGATGTGTGCAGAGATTAGCAACACACACGCACGCACGCACACACGCACACACGCGCACACAGCTGTGTGTTGCATTGATATTTGGGATAAACTGTATACATAATGTTCTTAAAATTCTGGAGAAAGCCCGGGAAATTGCTGAGTGAAAAGCATCTCCCACGGCTTTATTTGGAAATTACTCTGAGGAGAAAAGAGAGTCTGGGGTTTGACGTTTTCAGCCAACACGTCGCTAAATTTGAGACTCGGATGTTTTTGTGAATGTGAGCTCTGTTAGTTATCAAATCACAGACCGGCTTCAGCGCCAGATGCCAAAAATGTGTCAGGGAATAATTTAAAACACATGCTGAACGTATTTTTGTCTCCAGAGAGTTTTAAACTTCATCGAGAACTCGATTAATCACAGCTGGACCTGTGATTAGTATTAATGTCCTCGCAGCACGCTGACGCTCTGAATCTACATTCAAATTTAGGTTGTTTTCTGCACCTTTGTTTAGATGCAACGTGCTTTGGAATGAGGCGTCTTATACTGTGTAGGTACGGATTAATATAAAGCCACATTAGAAGGGAGCAGAGCAGCTTCAGTACCTGACACTTCTCACAGCACTGTCCGTGAGCACACTGGGATCCTGCAGTCAACCGACAAGTCGAGGCATCGCAGCAGGGATTGTTGCATTCCTGCAAAAAACACAAAGACACACAACGTTTGTTTCTGTGCACACACTTGATCCTCAAACATGGCTGCAGCGATGAAGGCAGTGACCTCACCCAGGAATTCTCCCCCTTCTGATGAGGTGTGAGCACACTAGAAAGCTATTTTAAATTTGAACTCTTTAAGGCTGCAGCTCTGCACACGCTACCTGCCCTAACCTCAGACAGGAAACCACAGCAGTGGGATAAAATGGAAGAACCTAAATAGCATCTCCCTTCAGCAAAGGACATATTTAAACGTAGCTGGGGTTACCTCCACCGTGCCACAGTCGCACTCCTCTCCGGGCTCCATCATGCCGTTGCCGCAGCGGGGGCCCACGGCGATGATCCTGGAGGAGGTGGGCTTTTGCAGGCAGCTGGGCTGAGCTCGCTCCAGGAATTCAGCGAGCTGAGAAAGACTGCAGCTGCTGAACAACTCCGGGAACATTTGATTTCCTGCCCTGTGGGAGGAACAAGGAGATCTGGGCTCAGCTTAAGGTTCAGCGCACCCCTGCTCTGATTTTAACGGTTTACAAATGGGAAAATGTTTGCAGATGCAAAAAATTCTACATCTGCTCTGGTCTGCATTTTTACCTGAGCTTTTCTGCCATGACACAATCCTTCCCGCTGAAGGTGGAACCGCACGTGCAGTCTGGAGCGTCGTGGGAAAGGCCAAAGTTATGTCCCATCTCATGGGCGATAGTGGAGGCGAGGCCTATTGGGTTTTCATTGTGATCCTGAAGGAGAAAAATGAATCAGTATCACCTCCATCGTCCATCCTGATGAACGAGAGTCAGACGCCATTACTCCCACCTGATTCACGCCTCCTGAGTTTCCGGTGCACATGGCGAACTTATTTGCCAGCCCGACTGTTTCTCCGTCAAAATCTCTCCAGCTGTTAAAGACAAAAACGCACCGTCAGGTCAAGCCGGCGGCATCACTGCGGTTAAAACATCTGCACAAATGTCAATCCTCACGTCACAAACTGGGCGTTGTCGTGCTTCACCCTCAGCAGGAGGTCGTCCTGACGCCACGCCAGGAACTTGTCCAGCGTGGCTTCTGAACTGTGGCTGACGTCGATGAGGTCTTTGTTCGACCAAATCTCCAACCCCACCAGCAGGACGCGGATGTTCAGACGCCGATACAGCTGCGGGCGGAGGAGGAGACCGTCAGGAACAGATGTGCTAAGACACGTCAAACATCTTAAACAGCTGGACGCAAACTCACCTTATCGATGTGATTCACGACTCCGAGGATACGGGATTCAGTATTGCTTCCATATTTTTTATACTGCAGGAGAAAAGGAGGCGAATGTGTCAGATTTACTCAGCGATGAGGGTGAAGTTTTATTTAAAGTGAGACGTTATTACCTCAGCGTTGTCCACCACAACATACAGCTCGACAAACCTCTGAGGACCCGGCGTGGGATTCGATTTCTGAAAGGAAACACAAAAAAACTGAAATACACGCCAACATGACACATCAACCTCATTATTTATGGATTATTTACTCACTTATGTGCTTTTACTACACATCTACACACATTAAAATGGAACAAGGGGACAATAAAAGAGGACCACTCCTCTGCAAATAAAAATGTGAGCGAATGAATTCAAGTCCTGCATTCCAAATATATTTACACAGAGGTTCTGACTTCATCGGCGTGACCCCTTCTATTTGGAGAAATCTAACTATTAATGGTGTTTCTGCTACCCGGTGGAGCTCAGGCAGAGCTGAGCTGCTAGCTGACGGTGCAGAGACGGACCGTGTTTCCTTAGCCGCAGAGCAGACTTTAAAGTAGGGTTTGCAAAGCTCTGTGCGAGAGAAGATCCTCGTGATGGGATGAACACACAGGATGAACATGTGTGTTCATCTGTTCTCGATATCAGGAGACGTCTGAACGATCATTTCTGTCCCAAGACGAACCCTGACTCATCGTATGTAACAGAACAGTGGCTGGAATTCACAAACACGCACACAAAAATCAAACTAAGTAAAGGAAAGGTCCCAGCTGACCTCCTCGGGGTCAAGTTTCGATTTTACAGCCAATCTGAACATCAGTATCATTCATGGGATGGATGTTTGATCTGCTTTCTTAAAATTCACTGAGGAAAACTTGCCTATCTTCTAGCTGCGGTTCCTTCAGTGTTATAAAAACTTTTGTATTATATGAAGGTGAAAGAAAACTACACTGGCACTAGAGCATACCCATGATCTGGACCTGAAGAGTCCAGCGACCTGAGGGCCCTGGTCCTGGTCGTAGAGTAGGGTGGTGTTGGATGAAGAGCCACAGCTGGGCCTGCCGCTGATTTTCAGGTGCTCCTGTCTGTAAACGGCATGATCGCCATCGTCCGTCTGCCCCAGAGGCTCGATCAGGTAAACCTGCTGCCGGGCTCTCAGGAAGCCACTGCACATCGACATTAAAGAAATAACTTTATTCGTCTGCCAAGAACAGCAGAGATGTGACTTTGATCCTTATAAAAACATAAAAGCTTTCAAACAGACGTAATGGGTTGTTAAGGGTCATTAAGGGTGAAACGGCGGTACCCGGGCACAGAGCAGCAATGCGACGAGCAGAAAAACAACCAGGTTGCTAAATATGAAGCAAGGCGTTTCTCAAGAACCTGAGAAACTTTCTCTACAGATGATGTAAGTGATAAAACAGGAAGTCCTATGTTGTAAAAATATCTATCGCTGCTCTCTTACCTCATGCCAGAACAAATCCCCACGCTCACCGAGGAGTCGTCCACGCCTTCGATGTGACCGTGATAGTAGCAATGATCCTAAAAACACGGATCGGTCAGTGAGGCCAGCTGGTACAGACATCGCTCACGCAGAGATTCTTTGTTTTTGCTTCCATAAAATCACAATTAGAAGTCTAAAATGTTCGATTTTTATCATTTCTGGGGCAATAAAAAGTTTTTGAAACAGCTCCTTCTCCTCTAAAACAGGACTCGAGGCTATTTTACATAAATAAAGTCAAATTTTTTGAACATTTTTTATGTTGCAAAAAGTGAAAAACATATCATTTGAGATTGAACAAACAAGATTTTACTTAATCATTTAAATAAAGTTAAAACGCACTTGTTTCGGTGATGTTGTCACCCGTTTGCCATCTTCAGTATAATGTGTTTCAGTGTAGTCTCTCCCAATAAGGTTCCTATAAAATTGAAATTCATTTTCATGTATTTATATATAATAACATATATATAATATTTGCATTTGCTGAGCAGAAATGAAACTCACCTGTTTTTTTCCAGAAGAATTGTGTGATTTCTCCCTTCGATGGCCAACTCGTACCGAACTGTATCAGGATAAAGCTGCAGAGAAACGTGCACAAGTCACAGGGCGGCGTTTAACCTCCTGAACATCTTTCACTTGTGGGAAAAAAGGCAAGGAAGGAAAATACCTGTGCAGGTAAAAGTCCTGCACCCAAACATGTGCTTCTGATTTATGATAACACATAGTTTGCACATTTTTAATCTGCAAAGCAGCTAGTGAAACTGCACTGATAAATTAGCTGTTATTAGGAAAACATGTTGAAATGCTGAGAACACAGAGGTTGGTTTTTCAGTCCCGGGTGTCGCTAATCTCATCCAAAATGACTTAAAAACACAAAATTAAAGGATGCCTACAATATGCATTAACACAATGAAGATCAGCTTCATGTCAGAGAACTATTGGAAGAATATTCCTATCTGACATGGAAAAACCAGCACAACGATACTCAGTAACGTATGCAGATTCCACTATTTTTAATAATGAATCACATGAGAAATATTTTAGAGAGAGCACCGGTGATGTGCAGCTGAGGCGTCAGTACCTGCGGGTGGTCCTGAAGGCTCCTCCTGTGTCTCTCCTGGAGTCTCTGAGGTCGGACCACCTCGTAACGCTCCACGTGAGACAACGTCCCCAAGCTGTGCACGATACAAACTACACACCACAAACACTGAGTCACTGTCTGTATATGATCATGAAGGAGTAGTGCAGATGCCAAAGCAAATTTAGGCAAATTCAGCCCAAAAACAGACTGTCGGATGTAAAAAGAAGCATTCAAGAATACAGAGTCTGCAACATCTGCTCACATCTGATTGCATCAGTGCATGCATCTAGGTTTCACTCATTTGAGCTCTGTGGGAGTCACCCCATAACAAAATCTAGAGCGTACAGGAGAAGACAATCATGGTGGCGGAAATGTTCGGGCGTGGAGTTGCTTTGCAGCTTTTAGTAAAATCTGCAACAGTGCTTATGTTTAATATGAGGCCATCAGTCCAAAAGTTGGAAATGACCCAGAAACGGACCCTTTAAATATCGCCTAACGTGCCCTTTTTTTAAAAGTTTTCTCCAGTGAATATTCTGAAAACAGATCAAACATCCAGGTTTCTGTTTAGTGAAACTATGACTTTGGCTTTAGATTGTGACACTTTGACTGGGTGTAAAATTTATTTCAGAATCAGAATCCTTTATTGATCCCTAGGGGAAATTATTTTGGTTACAGTGCTCCAGTATAAACAGTAACATAGACAGACAATACACTAAGTAAGAAATAGACACAATATATACAATATGTACATGATTTATATACATATGTCACTTATTGATAAATAGCTGAATAAGAAGAAGAGCGTGTAGCTATTGCAGTACAGTGTGTTAAGTGGATGAGTTGTACTTCTTCCAAATCAGAAATTTTTGATTTGACTGTTTTTTGTTTTAATGTAATTACACATACATGTGTAACTGGGGGCCAGACCTGATTGGTCTTTAAAAGTGTAAACTGCAGTGAGATCATTAAAAGCTGATGTTGTGATGCCAGCTTTACTGCAAACGAGTGAAAAAAGTATAGAAAGCTAAAATAGTTTCCAGATCTAGACGAGCTCTTTGAATCCTAAAAACAAAAAATGCCACAGCTGTGACAGAAACTGTTGCATTAAATGTGGCATCCCTCAAGGATCGATTTTAGATCCTCTTCTATTGTCGTCTTTGCATTTCAGAAGCACAATATTTACATTTAGTATCATCTACCTGCCTCACCTCACAGCGACTGATGGCAAAAAAACTTTTCTCAACTAAAAATTTAGCAAAACGGAAGTTATTTGATTTCCTTTATTTGACTTAATTTCCAGGTCCTACGTATTTATATTTTTTGGCTTAATCAATTTTTTAAAATCTTATTTTATGTAATGATCATATTTTAAGAATTATTTAGATTTTCTTTTGCTTTGTGCTGATTTTTATCATGTTCTTCTGTGTGTTTTATTTTGAAGACCTCCCGGTATTTTAAACTGACTTCACTTGCTCTTTTTAAAATGCATTTTTTCTTATGCCAGGATAATTATGTGATTTTTATAAAATTTCATATAAAATAATAATAATAATTTAACTAGAAATAATATCCCTTGTTGAACATTTTTAGAATATACTTGTTTTTACACTTCAAGAAAGGGAAACATTAGCGAGGGGTTTTTATTAATGCAGTTGTTTTACTAAACCTGCCTCAGCTTGATCAAATCGTTTTTCTTGGTCATGACTTTCTTACTAATAGATTTTAGATCTCAAATTTCTTCTTAAATAAAGGGCAAACATATCTAAGACCACACGTGTCTACCTATCCATCACCTCAGATGATCTAATTGTTTCATGTTTCCTCCTCTGTACTGCTGAGAAGTTAGATGTATAATCAAATACTGTATTTTAAAGGCACATCAGATCTTTTAAGAGCGTTAATATTTATTAGTAAAGCAAAATAACTTGTAAATAAAACAGTAAATTGGTTAAAGAAAAACAACATTTGCGTAAATAAAGAGGGAAATACTGTTATAAACTGAACCATATGTTTTCTTTTACAGGGACTTTAAACCACATAAACTTCTGCTCGCCTATTAATAGTTCGAAGCTTCTCTGCCAGACTTCATTCACTTTTCTGCTGATTTAGCGGTAGCCTGTTGCTCTTCGTGAAACTTTGTTGGAGTTAAAAGTCTTACCGCATGTGAGCCACAGTAAGAACAAGTCCTCTCCCATCATGATGCGCTCTGCTCGGGCCCAGCCGATCACCTCCCGTTACTCCGTCGTGAATCAGCCGCTTCCAGGCAGCGACTCCCCCGAGCTTCGTTCTTATCTCCGCCCCGCAGACTTACCGGATACCCAACGTTAAGCCAACTGTGGCTACACTTCCGGTGTAATAAAGCTTTAAAAAATAAAGTCAAATTTTATTTATGTGTCGCCAAATCGCAGTTGCCTCAGGTGGCTTTAAGGTGTAAGGTAAGAAATCCCCAGACAACTCCCTATGAGCAAGCACAGTGGGAACACCCAAAATATGTGTAGATGTAGAAATCATACATCATAGTATGACACGTGGGAGTCATGTATACGTGGAAACAACAGCTTAAGGTTTAAACTAAAAATGTTAATCTTATTATCATAAAAACTATGAGACCTTTAAGCTATGATTAATAACTTGGGTCAGCATAAACCGAATAATCAAAGCTTTTCAAAAAGTTCAGACACCAGTGAATTGAGATTATTTCCCTTACAGTCATTTCTGTCGACCCCAATATGGAAAATTCTTTAAATTTACAGTATATTCTCTGTATTCACAGATATTTCTGTTAATCCCCATGCAGTTAGGACTGTTTTAAAAGTATAATATCCATCTATCTATATATCTATATATATCTCTATATATCTATATATATATATAGATATATATATATGTGTGTGTTTTGGTCCTGGTTTTCGCAAAGAAGGTTAAATTTTGTAACTAAACCTTAGAAAATCTTCAACAATCATAAATCTAAACATCACCCGATTTATTTTTATTTTACCTTTTAATGTATGACATATTAAAAAGTTCAAATAACGTACCAAGAGTAAGAAAACATGTTGAGTTGACTGAAGAAAGTTTTTAGCTCAAAAACATCTGAAGGGTGTTTTTTCTGATCCACAAAGTTAATCAGAAAAAAAATGATTGTCTGTTTTTTTTGTTTTACTTTTTTGACACTAGTTTTTTGACTTTTTGAAACCCTGAATGATGAGTTATTCAGACATTTTAAATCTATTCTAGATTTGTAACAAAAATTTCCACAGAAGGTTTTATTGTGAAGTTATCACACTTCCTGTATGACTCATGTTTCTCTGGCTAACATCATCAAGGAGTGTTCATACTGGTTTCTTTGTTGCTCACTGCAGATAAAAACCAGTTAAGGCAGGGGTCAAGAGACCAAAATTATTCAGTACATTTTTGTTTTAATTAAGTTCAATACAAACATACATTTTCATAAATTTACAGGTACAATAAGTTACCCATAAATAGTGACGACTCACATTTTCAGAGCTGAAGCACTAAAATGACACTGCAGACATGAATGACTCTACAGGTCATACAGAAATGTCATGTATATATATGAACAAACATACACGTCTTAGCTCTTTGAATCGTGACTATCTGGGCGGTTGGACTGATGAGCAGGTATGATGAAACTTTTATTTTTGCATATTCACACAAAGCGACGACAGGCTACGCTGCTGCCTTCTGACTGCGCTCGATGGCCATCCTCTCCAGCCGCTCAGTGTAGAAGCCGTTAAAGTCCAGCCTGAGGAGTCATCAGAGGAAATGTAATGATGCACCTTTTGTTTCAAATAAAATTCATTTTATTACAGTCCAACAAATTTGCTATTCCTCAAAAAAGCAGATGTTATCACTGAAAAGTGTTTAAATGGTACTTTAAGGTACATTTCTGTTTTTAAAAACTTAACTGATGATATCAACAAGATGCAAAGAAATAACTATTTTGCCTTTAAGTTCATAAGCCCTATGTATCGTGTTAAAGAGACATGACCTGAAGTTGAACTAGTGTTGGGCTGAACTTTTGTGTAATATGATTTTATATCAGAAGATGTTGCAGTGAGGAAAAACTTTTTTTAAAACCAGATTCATATTTACAGCCGAGGTCCAGAGAAAGCAAATCTTATGATTTGTAAACGCTGTCCCCTGGTGGTGAAAGCTTAAGTATAAATTTAAGGTACCTTCTGTAATTATTGTTGAGCCTTCAGATGTGTGCTGCTGTTAGCTTTCGATATTCTGCATTTTTTTAAATAAGCGTGTGCTCTAACATCCTGTTTTTACTCCGTCTTTAGCATTTTCCAGAGTAAATAAATCGATAGAAAGTTAAATAAACACAGTAAATTAAGTTTTTAATTCTTGTTAAAAATCCAGATAATGAGCTGCTTCCTGTAATATTACACATATATTTGAGAGTTAACCCCAGGACCTTTACTGACTGATTTAAAACAGCAGCTTTTCTGCAGGAAGATGAAACCTGAGTTTTATGCTCAGCAGCTCTGTTTGATTCATGCTTTCAAAATACATTTAAACTTTTCTGCACTGAGGGGAAGGTTCAGTCGTCCGGCCCACTGAAGATCAAATTATAGTTGTACGTGTCCGAAGAACTACGCTAGGCAACGGTGACTCACTGCACCATCTTGTGGTGCAAAGTGGTATTACAAAAAAAGTGCAACATCACCTGATGTCTCTTCGACACAATACAGACATAAACCCAGAGTAGATGTCTTTTCAAACTCTGTAGTTAGTTCATACAATATTTTTTTAAACTATTTTTAAAGAAAATTATGATAAGAACCTTTAAGGTGATCACATGACCCAGAACCTTTGTTTTTAAATGGGCAGGATATTTTTTAATCCCCATTGGAACAGGATAGGAGTCTAAAAGATGCTATCTTAACAAAAGCCACCTACAAAACTGTCCTGGTTATTAAATGTTAACAACTGTTAGTGAATGCAAAGAGAAAACTGACATTCAGCTTCATTTCCATGCAAATGAATAGTGCAGCAACTGCTTCGAGCCTGTGTGATGGCATGAAGGAAAAAACATTTAAAGCCTATTACAAACGTCCTCTGTAATGCTGACAGGCGTACCTGTAAATGATGCTGATCATGCTGTGCTCGCAGTCGTTGGTGCTGTAGATGCTCAGCTTGTCCAGCAGGTCCAGCAGCAGCATGCTGAAGTTGCTGTCAAACTTGCTGATGGTGGCTTCGAAGCTGGCGTCGGTCTGGAGGGAGTCTGCGTGATCGGCTAAAAACTGAAGCAGCAGCCAAGAGGAAAGGACGACAAACAATCATATAATGAAAATTTTAGGAGGATGAATGAACAAAGCCTGATTTAGTAAGGTTTACAGCCTCTCTATTCCAGTACGTGTTTCTCAGAGGGGAGGCTGTGGTGATGGATGCTTTGTACCTTCGTGGTCAGCCTCTTTTTCTCTGGCTCGTCGGCCTGCTCGCTCTGAGCGGAGGGCTCATCCATCGTCCCCTGCTCCATGGAGAGGCGCTCCAGCCTCATGCTCTGTGTGAAACGCTTCATCAGCAGAGGAGAAGAAAAAAGGGCAAAAACACATCTGTTTGTTTCATTTTCAGGTTTTTCGAGGCTTACTTATAGCAGAGCTGTAAAACGATGTTCAAATAAAAGGAAAAATGAACATTTATCCGACTATGAAAATGAACAACAATCTGAGTACACTGTAGGTCCCGTAAATGCTGCACAATAACCACAACATTTTTATCAACGCAACATGCCTGCTGAGGCTTTTGTGCAATTCTGCATCCAGATTTTTAGGCTCTGAGTCGATGGTCACAGAAAAGCTGCAGGCGCCCAAACTAGATTTGCAAAAAGCTATCTCATATTCTTCACATGTCTGGGTTTCATCAAGTCTCCAAAAAGCATGTGGGAATATTTGTTATAGTCTGACGAGATCAAGAGTGATCTCTTCTCCTATTTACCCACACAAAAACGTCACATTTTAACAGAAGTCTGCAGACTTTATTATCCACCGTGTCTAAACAGCTTAAAGGCAGACATGTGGCTCTTTGAATGAAATTCAAACTATGAGCGCTTCAATTTAAAAATGTGTGTGCAGCAGTTTTTTGCAGCGTTTAAGCTTAAATACATTGATTCATGAAACTAAAGTAAATTAAAGAGTGCTGTAATCAAATACTACATTAGTGAGGCTGTGACTTCATTATCTCTGGTTTTATGCAGTCGTGGAAATACCTGCATGCAGTTTGTGAACATGACGCAGACAGACATGAGCTTGGAGAAGATCCTGAGCAGCTCGGGGTTGGTCAGCATGCAGTCCTTTAGGCAGTTGTCCAGGAAGCTGGTGTGATGACAAAGCACATCATCGATGTTTGAAGCCTGCAGAAAGAAGAAAAGAAAAATAACTTAAGATCACATTTTCCCTGAAACCAGCACGCCTCCTTCTCAGTGCTCCTCAGGGGTCCTTCTTCAATCACTCACCATTTTCAGGTTGTTCTCCATGACGTGCCAGGTGGGCTCCATCACCTCAAACATCATGTAGTACTGAATGTTCTGCACAAAGTTGAGCATTCGCTGTCGGAGGGCGAACGCGGCAGCGAACCTGCACACAGGTGGTAAGAACAAAAGGTAAGAACGTTCTACTGGTTGAAACTTTTACAGGAAGTCACCTCAGATTCGTGGCGGCTCACCATTTGGCAGAGTGTAAGGAGTACTGCCTGAAGTCTTTGTTGCTGATCCAAACGTTGCACAGCAGCCGCTCAACATGTTTGCAGTAAAACATGTGTCTGAACAACATCTGGTACCTCGTCAGTGCTTTCCTGGATAAATAATGCAAACATTAGCGCTTCTAAATAAACAGGTTGGTTTTGTGATTTCCCACTTTATACAAATTTAATTCAGTCAAACTAAAACCAATATTTTTCTGCCTTTATTTGTTTTAACCGTCTCATTTTTTTTTGTTTATTTTACAACTTGTATTTTTTATTTTTTGTCACAATTCATGGATTAATAAATATCTTCAGATGTATTTATCTAGAGTAAGATCCACTGGAGCTCCGAACCTGTTGATGATGAGCGAGAGCGGCCATTTGACAATGTAGTCGAAGGAGAAGGCCTCGAGCCCGCTGAGGGCCACGTCTGGCGGATCAGCGTTGATGATGGCCTTCTCTTGTTTGGTCTCGATGGCCAGCACTCGCAGCAGCTGAGTGATGACATCGTGAGGCATTAAGTCGATCTGTGGAGACAGGCGAGGAAGGTCAGACCAGCTAATTGTTCACATTTTACAATCCAAACTAAACAGACACGCCTTCCCCCACCTTCAGGTCATCCTTGAAAGGGTCCGTGTTGGCCGTGCTCATCCTCAGAGCCAGC